AATTATATGAAAATTTAAAATCTGTAATGGACGCTATACTTCTTGATTTATTTCTATGGAAAACCAAACTTGATATTTATTAAATAAATGAATGGCGAAAAAATAAAGCCACTAGAAAGATTATTATGGAGCTCAAACTCACAATATTTAAAAAAAAAGATATATCAAATATATTAAAATACTATTATTATTAAATAATAACACTTTGGTTCTGATTGAAATTATATTTTAAGATAATTAAATTTTAAAAAAAAATATTAATTTAATAATTTATATTGAAGTAAATATCTCACCAACTTTTAATTTATATTGAAGCAAATATCTCACCAATTTTAAAAAGAGAAAATAACCTCGGTGGCCAAAAATACTTTATAATATATGTTTTTAACTAATTTTTTTTGGATTTGTCAAAATGACCAACTAAATCGCAATGCGATCGATAATTCGCAACGCGATCTCCGGTATCGCAAATCAGTTTCCAGATTCGCAATGCGAACTTTGACTATCGCAATGCGAACTTGGACTATCGCAATGCGAACTTGGACTATGGCAATGCGAATATGTAAATCGCAATGCGATAGTCGAAGTTCGCATTGCGATAGTCGAAGTTCGTGTTGCGATTTATTCAAAATTCGACTATCGCAACGCGAACTTCGACTATCGCATTGCGATTTACATATTCGCATTGCAATAGTCCAAGTTCGCATTGCGATTTATTCCAAATTCGTTGTGATAGTCGAAGTTCGTGTTGCGATTTATTCTAAATTCGTTGCGATAGTCGAAGTTCGCGTTGCGATTTATTCCAAATTCGTTGCGATAGTCCAAAATCATATATTATAAGACATTTTTGATCACTGAGGTTATTTTCTCTTTTAAAAAATACATTAGACATATTATAACTTGCGGTCCTCTTTTTTCCAATAAGATCAACATATTATTATCCAATATATATATATATATCACATTAAAAGATATAACAAAATTCACATAATGATTGGGTAAATTTAAGCAAATAATATAGGTGGAATAATTAATTAGTAAAATAAGATATTTTTAAATTTATTTTGAGATCTAGACTATTTGATACCGTGCGGGTGGAACTCGTCACGCTCATATTAAAAAATTAGAACCTGTTGTATAATATAAAACAAAATATATGGAACTCGTCATACCCTCTAACGAGGTTTAATCTTTTAATATATTTTATGAAACTCATTATGTCCATGTGATAAGTTGCAAATAAATTTCAACCACTTAATTTTTAGAAAATTTTTCGGCTTGTATTATTTTCCTAATTTTGCCTAATAGTTGTATAGTTATCCCTAAGAACTACTTTCTCACCTATGCAGCTGGCGATTGCACCTTTCTTAAATCTTACACTCACCAAAATAGAGCCTCGACAGTATGAAAACGTTGACTCAATCCAGTGCAAGAAACGCGTAGGAAAGAGATAGTAAACCACTTCACAAATATAGAAATAAAGTCAGTAAAGCTGAAGGAAATGTCAATGTCGATTCGATCCCAATTATTATTACTCTAAAGCCAATGACCAATATCATCTTCTTTCACGCGTTTTGCCCTTTTTATTCTATTGCTCGCTCATTTTTGGGTTACTTCAACGCAAGCAATTTTAGGACCAACAAAGCATAGATGCCTTGAGCATATATTATGATGTATGTCCACCACCAACTCCAAAGCCACCCTATGTAGTGCGTTCCACCTCACTCTTTCCTCAATGCCCCGATTATAATTTTACCTAACCTTGTAATTATGTAACATTACTTCCTTCCGGGGGCGGATCTCCATGGAGCCCGGGGTATCCTGGGCAACCCCTCATCTAGGGGTGGACCTCCATGGTGCCCGGGGTATCCCAAGCAACCCCTCCACAAGTGTCACCCTTAATCCAAGTACCACCCCTCAAAAGTACCACCTCTGGGACTCTTGCAACCCCGAAGAAGGCTCCTGGGTCCGCCTCTGCTTCCTTCACTTGCTCTTTTAAAGTTCCTTTTCTGACTTTACAAATGAATGTTCCTTCCTTGGCGTAAACTAACTTTTAGTAGCCAAAGTTTAAAATATTGAGAATGTAATAAAACATCCCAAGTCAAAAGCACTTTAAAATAAAACACTACGGGAAGTACATGGACTCAAGAACGACGACTTTGTCTCTTCGTAAGGGAATACTGAGTCACTCACATGCATGCAAGTTGATAATGGTAGAGAAGTTGTAATCTTCTTTCAATTTTTGCTTTTCGGCAATATCCCCAAACCTCAAAAGTCTTAGCCGGTCGCTTTTGAATCTCTGACTTTTGTTTTGCCTATATAATCACTCCTCATTCATCAATCCAAACTCACAAGCTCTCAAAATCATCTTTCAGCTGAATCTTCAAGCTCTTCTCTTCTCCTACAACAATGGAGTTTAGTTGTTATAGCCAAAGATTCGTTCTAGTTTCCCTGTTGCTTGCCGTGGCCGGTGGTGTATTGGTGGAAGGCCAGGGCACCAGGGTGGGGTTCTACTCGGCTTCATGTCCTCGAGTCGAGTCCATCGTGAGGTCCGCGGTTCAATCTCATTTCAGGTCTGATCCCACCGTGGCTCCCGGTTTGCTCCGCATGCACTTCCATGACTGCTTCGTCAATGGATGCGATGGCTCGATCCTTATCGACGGTGCCGGTACCGAGAAAACGGCGCCGCCGAATCTATTGTTGAGAGGGTACGAAGTCATCGACGATGCCAAGACTCAGCTCGAAGCTGCTTGCCCTGGTGTTGTTTCGTGTGCCGATATTTTAGCTCTCGCTGCTCGTGATTCTGTAGTTGTGGTAACTATTTTTCTTTGCTTTGATCTTGTTTTTATGTTGTTTGTTGGTTAGTCGTTAACGGTGGTTGTTGATAATGTAATGTGACAGAGCGGTGGAGCGAGCTGGGCGGTGCCGACTGGCCGCCGAGACGGAACTGTTTCTCAGGCTTCCGATGCCGCCAATTTGCCCGGCTTCCGTGACTCGGTCGATTTGCAGAAGCAAAAATTTGCAGCAAAAGGTCTCAACACTCAAGATCTAGTCGCCCTTGTCGGTAAGCATTAGATTTATATTATCAAAATCGAATTCGAATATAAACTTAACACAAAATCCATGAAATATAACGTAATTTCTGGACTCTAGGGGGGCACACCATTGGTACTTCAGCCTGCCAATTCTTCAGATACAGACTATACAACTTCACCACAACCGGAAACGGAGCCGACCCTTCGATCGCCACCTCGTTCGTACCGCGACTTCAAGCGCTTTGTCCGCAGAACGGTGACGGATCACGGAGGATCGGATTGGACACGGGCAGCGTTAACAGATTCGATAACTCCTTCTTCGCCAACTTGAGGGACGGCAAGGGAATTCTCGAATCCGATCAAAGTCTATGGACCGACGCTTCCACCAGGAACCTTGTTCAACGATTCTTGGGCATCAGAGGGTTGCTCGGATTGACGTTCAACATTGAATTTGGAAGGTCCATGGTGAAAATGAGCAACATTGAAGTGAAGACAGGCACTGTGGGTGAAATCCGCAGAGTTTGTTCTAAAGTTAATTAAATGTAACATATATGTGTTAAAGATCCAATCGCATAGTGTAAAAACTAAAAAGTTTTTATACTGAAAGTGTAATTTGACCTTTTTTGTTTTGAAAATTATGGATATTGTCTAGGTTAATTAATTCGATAAAACGTGATAATCATTGTCAAATGCAACTGTAATTGTTGATAAAGTTCTCTATATTGGACCTCTTGCTCCATATAATGGTCAAATTACAGCTTTCGTCCATATACTATATTCAGTTTGAGATTTAATCTACTTTAACTTGATATAATTTTTTTTTTATTAATTGTTGCCTTGTATTCTCCAAAGAAGTAGATAAATTGCTATATACTATATTAGCGGTAGCTAAGTATACCAGCTAATGATTTTTTAAACATTGTTAATGATTTGAACTAAATCAAAAAGATAAATAAGGGTACAGAACGCACGTGGTCTCGACTATAAGATATTGTTTTATTAATTCTTTTAACTATTAAAAGTTAGAAAATAGTTCTTTGACTATAAAGTATTGTTTTATTGAGTCTCTCGACTATTAAAAGTTACAAATGATCGTTCGACTATTCATTATGTCCCAAAATCTTAAATGACTATCATATCTCAGTCTTCATGTTAACATTTAGCTTAAACAACCGTAATTTTTTAGTGGAAATGGATGATTCTGAACATAATGAATATCCGAATGATTATTTTGTAACTTTTAATAGTTGAGAGACTCAACAAAGCAACACTCCATAGTTAAAGGAACATTTTGTAACTTTTAATAATCGATATATTTAATAAAACAGTATCCTATAGTCAGAGAATATTTTCATTCTTTACCCTAATAATAATATGAGTAAATTATGTGAAATTAAAAATATGAGAATTAAATCTCAAAATTGAGTATAACCCGAAGGAATTATTGCCCCCAATATTCAAAAGGCATAACATGTATTATTATACTAACCACTTAATAATATTTTATTTCAACATTTTTTAATATAAGATTGTAAGATTGTGTATCTCATCAAATGGTCTCATTGGTAAAAGAATGTTGGTCTCGGTAATAAAAAGAGAATATTGTTCCTTCGGAAGTAATGAATTTGAGCAGTTATGTTTGTAGGGTATACGCGCATTATTAATTAGTTAAAAATATTTTGAATAAAGAAAAAAAAAGTTCAAGAATCAAATTATTTTTTCCCATGAATATTATCAGATGATTCAGAATGATTCTAAATCTTAAACTTTAGCAGCTTTCAGCATTCATTATCCCTGACAAAATCCATGGAAATGATAATACGTCAGAAGACAGAACCTGTAAGTAATCAACGAGATTAGATCTCAGTTTTTACTTAAAATTTTGAACTATTGGGGAACTCATCATCAACCCAACAAACAACAACATTTGCACTTTATCTACACAAACATGGCCATCAATTTCCTTTACAACCCAAGAGCACCAAGCGGTGTCTTTCCTCTCGCATGCTTAATCTCAGCAAGCTTGAGTCTCTCCAGCTTGTCATAATCAGGCACGTGAACCCCGTTCTGAATACTTCCGGCAAGCCCCAATGGGTCGAAGAATTTGCCGCCGGGGTAGCCTTGCTCGCCGGTGGCGTTGGCGAAGTTCTCGGCGGTCTGAGACCACGGTGTCGCCCATTCCACGGATTGTGATTCGGGGTTAAAAAAATCAACCCAACGCTTGCTTTCGACCCAACCCATGAGGATGAGTTGGGTTCCGAGGAGTGAACCGAAGGAGAATGGGGCTATGGCAGCCGGGTCACCTCCGGCTTCGAACCATGGAATGCCACTCCAGGCTTGGCCGATGAAGATTCCGAGGACGGCGGCCATGGCCCAACGTCCGTGGATCAGCTCGGCTTCTCGGTACCATTTGAGGAATGCTGGGTCCTTGCCGAGACCAAGTGGGTCGAATCCGTAATCTGGAGCCTGAAAAAAAAAAAAGGAGAAACTTTAGTTGAGCAAGCGTAAATTAAGTATTTAGTATATAAATTATTTATTTTAATATTAAATTTTTAATGTTTTCATAATCATGTTTAACGTTTAATTTTCATTTCATTTAATTATTTTATTGTTAAATATTTAACGTGTTTAATATTTAAATTATTAATTTTGATCGATTTTAATATCTAAATTTTTAATTTTTTTAAACTTAACACTAAATGTTAAACGAAACACTAAAATAAAATTAAAATTAAAATTAAAATTTTTAATGATATGGAATTAAAATGAAACAAAAATTAAATTATAGATATAATTTTAAAAATAAAAGTATAGATATTAAAATTAAGAGTTTATATATTAAACGTAATTTATTAAAAAAACAAGGGTAGTTTATGAGGGGGGAGAAAAAAACATACAATCCATCGAGCCATTCGGGTCAATGAAGTTGCCACCAACTTTGACGGCGGGGATCCAAGACTTTTTAGGTGCGGCGGCGACTGCCAGAACGGCAAACTTCCCAGCTCCGCCGGCAGGGGAGGGGGAGACCTTGGCACCCAAAAGAGCTTGGTTCCTCTTTCCTCCAGAAAGAAACGATGAGCATAACGCATTTAGAACAGCACCAGTTGTAGCAGCCATTGTTTTTCTTTCTTTTTTCTCTCTCGAGAAACAAGCAGATGTTAGCGGATGAGATCAAAAGGAAGGATTTGTAGGAGACAAGTAGGATAGAAGAAATCTAGAGAGGATATCTATGTGAGTAAGGAGTTTAGATTTCGGACCAATGGGGAGTTGAAGTCCATCCACATTTCAATGTTGTTCCAAACCACGTGGAACTTGGTCCGGATATCATTCTGCTTTTTGGGTCCTCTTTCTTTGGTACATTTCAGGTTTGATATAATTACAAAAATATATAATGTTTGTGTAAATGACGAGTTTATCCTTTATTTTTTAAGCATTTTATCTTAGTATTTTAATTGTTTTGGTTGAAATAAATCTTGTTAGATGAAAATTATTAGTTGACTAATTATCATCTCATATTATTGATATGATATGTGTTACGTCAATAATTAAACTCGAGCAAAAACATCACGTAGACAATGGATTGTTAGTCAACTAACTATTTTAATCTAACAAAGTGTCTGTTCTGACCCAAAATTGAAATGTTTGAGGATAAAATGCTTTCAAAAAGGGGTAAATTATGCATTTAGTACATAAACCATCAATTTTGGTCCGTTTTAGTACGTAAACTTTCATTTTTTTAACCATAGTGAATGTTTATTTTTCATTTCATTTTAGATCTAAACTATCGGTTTTGGTCTGTACTATTACATAATCTTTCAATTTTTCAAAACTTAACGTTAAATTTTGAACGATGATACTAAAATGAAACAAAAACTAAACTTCAGGTATGATTTTGAAACTTAACGTTAAATATTATATTTTAAAAGATTCGATTTTGATTCATTAAGTCTATAAAGTATATATAAGTTATGAATAAGCTAAGAAAATTTTAAATAGATATTATTTTCTAATCAATCTGTATTACTCGAAAAAATATATTCTAATTGTATCTGTTAATCTAATGATATAATCCATTTTATATTTATTTATTCATTAATTAAGGCATAATGTAAATATTTTAGTTATTCTCTAAATTTAATCATAATCTTAAATTATACAAAAATACAATAAAAACAATATTATTTCCTTTAAATGTTAGTTACTTAGTTATAGATTTCACACTATTACAACATTGGACTAATCAAATAATTTTAAACTAAAATTAATGGATTAAATCCTAAATCCTGGGCTAAAACCATAATTAAACTTAGAAATAAAATATTTGTCTTCCCAGGTTACACATCACTTGTTAAAGTGTATGTACAGAGAAAATTTAGCAAATTAGTTATAGGTTGCCGTAATCAGTCTAACTTCAGTTGATTTCTGTTAAGGAGAGTTGGTTAGGATTATTGTTAGTACTAAGTCAATCTTATAGCATCCAACAAATCTTGTATATAAATTGAGCAGAATCTTACACTAGAGATTATTTCAATTTATATTAATAAAAAATTAAAAGAATTATTGATAGAATTCAATTTAATAAATTTAAGGGTAAACACGTGAATTACGCATTTAGCACTTAAACCATCCGTTTTGATCCGTTTTAGTACATAAACTTTCATTTTTTTAAATCATGCCTAGCGTTTAGTTTTGTTTCATTTTAGTACCCGTTAAAAACTTAACGTTAGACTTTGAAAAAAATTGAAAGTTTAGATATTAAAACGGACCAAAACGGATAGCTTAGGTACTAAACACGTTAAATTGTTAACGGCGGGGTACTAAAATGAAACAAAAACTAAACATTAGGTATGTTTTTTTTTTTAAAATACAAAGTTAGGTACTAAAATGGATTAAAATTGATAGTTTAAGTACTAAAACTGTAATTTATCCTAAATTTAATTATATTATTTTAATATTTATAAATATTAATTCAAATATATCAATAACAAATCTTGTATATAAATTGAGCCTTATGCACTGGGTAGGCCTTTATTAAAAATATAATTTTATTTTAAAATCATAGTTTTCATATTTTAATATGTATGTACATTAATAAATTATCATTTTCTAAAATAATTTATATTTGATCTCGACCCAGCTAAAAATTTATGGCTTCAACCTAATATGCACATATAAACATATTTTTAAAGTATTTACATACATTTAACTTTCAATATTTGTAAAACTATACCTAACATTTTGTTTTTGTTTCATTTTGGTCCCGTCGTCAAAATTTTAGTAGAACTTTTGCAGGTGACATTTTTATGAGTAAATTAAATCAGTCATCCCTTAATTATCTTCTTACTCCTATTTTGGTCATTAAATTTTAATTTTTTTTTCAATTTGACTACTCAACTTTCAAATTGCTCATGTTTTAATCACTATAATTTATTTTATTAATAATATTTTCTGACATGATATTTTATTATTATTTTATTAATTTATAATTAAATTTAAAAGTTAGAGTAATTAAATTAGGAGAAATTTGAAAGTTAAGTAATTAAATTAAAAAAATAAACTTCAATGACCAAAATAGGAGTGAGAAGATAGCTGAGTGATGAATGAGATGATTTACCCATAAAAATATACCAAGTTGTAACAGTTTATTAAGTTTTTAATCTAAAACTAATATTTTAGATACTAAATGCATAATTTACCCAAAAATTTAATTATAATAAATTTCAAACCCATACTAAACGGGCTTTAACAAATTTTTAATCCAACAATTATGCATGCATGGCAGCCGCCAAAGCCTGAAAAGGTCTTTGTATTTTCAGTTTCTTTAGTGGAAGAAACCCTAGATTTTCTAGGAAACAGTTAGCTTACCTCATCCCACCTTCCCTACTTTATCTCCAACCCACCACTCTCTTTCCCTCACGATTCAGTTTCTTTCCCTCTTTCTCCACTGATTCCATAAAGTATCTCTGTCTTATAAAACAAATCTCTTGTGTCTCAACTCTCGACAAGTCAATTCACCACTGAATCTTTCGACACTTTTCTGAGTTTCTCTATACATTTTCGTAGCTTTCTTCTTCTTCCAACGGCTGCCATGGTTTTAAGTCCATACTCGAACTGGGAGACTGATTTCCAGAACATCAACGATGAAACAGTTCAAGCTGATCATCAACAACAATACTGGGATCCATTCGAGCTGCCTTTTGGTTTCATTGATCCTTACATTGAACTAAACAGCAGTTTTCTTCAACCCGAAAGCTACACTCCTTTACTCCCCGTCGACCCTTTGATTCCCTCACCGCCGGAAACCGTCTCGTACGAGAACTTCGTCTCTTTCCCATGCTCTAAACGCCAGAAACTCGTCGACGACGATCAGTGTTTGATGATGATGCCCGGTTTCTTTCAGGCGGTTGATCCGAATTCATGTCCGGTGCTCGAAGACGGCATGAATCAAGTTAACGGTAAGAACGACGACGGCGACCGGAAGTGCGTGTCGGCGCAAAGCATCGCGGCGAGGGAGAGGAGGAGGAAGATAACCAAGAAGACTCAAGAGCTTGGGAAGCTCGTGCCAGGAGGGACTAAGATGAACACTGCTGAAATGCTTCAGGCTGCTTTCAAATACGTCAAGTTCTTGCAAGCTCAACTCGGAATCCTTCAACTCACGAACTCGTTCTCGGTAATCTTCTTCGACGAGTATTATTTTTATATACATTATTATGAAGATTGATTGCTTAAATGAGCAAAGGGTCTTGTTTTTTAAACAAATGCAGGAAAACGGAGAGAATTGCAAGGAAAACGAAAGCCTGCAGATTTTAACATCTGCAAAGGTTCAAGAAAAGCTTTATTTGAAGAAAAGTGCTTGGTTCCAAAGGATTTTGTTCTGTCTTTGACAACAATTTCAAAGCCTCCGGTCTCTGATGAACTCGCTCGCCTTTTATGAGCTTCAGCACTGAATTAACTCACTCACTGTTTTCTACATTTAACCAATTACCTCTAGTTTTGTTGTTGTTGATTGATTTTGTTTTAATAAGTTTATCTATTGGTTACCAAAAACATGTAATTATCTCTGTTTTCATGGATAGACATGTCAACTTTTCATTTGACTTTAATCTTTCTAGTAAAAGATAAAAAATAGTTGATCAAATTGAAATAAAGAATAATAAATCTTTATAATATTCAATTTATATTAATTAATTGATAAATTTGATTAAATAAAAAAGCACCTTAACTAAGGAGTTTCATTCTGGTCTTAGGAATGACATAGCTTTATAGACCTACAAAATAAAGAGAATTAATCATTATCAAATTATTACTTTATATACTAATTATAAAAAAATATTTTACAAATATATAAGATTATAACATTATCAAACATACCATATTTATATTAAAAATTACAAAAAATAAAAACACAACAACATTACCAAATAGGTTTTTCATAAAAAAAAATGTTGACTACCAAAATCATTGCAATTGTTAAGAGAGTATAAGGAAAGGTAATCTGATGTTGCCAAAGTTAGGAGAGTCTAACGATGAAAGTGCGACGACTGTTGCCAAAGTTGGTCGCGAAGATTTGGACAAGGAAGTTAAGAGCAGTCTGGAAGCGGTTGGTGTTTCTGATGGAGATGCTGAAGCAGTAGAGTCTAGGAAGAAGAAAGTTGGCCGTAAATTGCCAGTTAAATCTTCCCCTGAGAGAAAACAAAGACTAAATGCAACCCAAGTAACTGAAGTTGTTAAGAAAGCTGCTTCTGTTGTCAGTGATGACAGAGAGAGTGGGAAAATTTTCAGCTGTTTCTTCTAAACATTTAAATCCTGAAGAGTCGTCTGATGAGCTTGAGAATGTTTTTAAAATAGAAACTCATAATTTCCTTGAGGAAAATAGTGTGAGCGCTAGTAAAAATGAAGGTTGTAGTAATTTGAATGTGGTGTTAAATCAAGACTTAGTTCATCATGTAGAAAGGTTTCTCCTCCAATGGGAGCTTCTGTTATTGAAAGTGAAATTAATAGTCAGTTAGGTTCTCCAGAGCTGAGTTCCAAAGTTGAAGTGCCCCATGGTGCTAAGTTCCCGGATGAGAATAAGGGTATTGCTGAGGGAAGTGACGAGAATGATAGTAAAACAGAGGAAATTGTTTTGAAGATGGAATCAAAGATTGATTTAATTCCTGCTATAGGAAAGGTTTCTCCTCCACTGGAAGCTTCTGCTACTGAAACTGAATTAGCTTCTTTAGAGTCCAGTTTCAAAAGTGATGTTCCCCGCAGGGTTAAGTTGGAAAAGGAAGAAAATACTGGTGCTGATAAAAATGGCGAGAGGATTGGCAAAATTGAGGGTACTACTTCAAGAATGGAAACCCAGATGAATTTAGTTCCTGATATAGAAAAGGCTTCTCCTCCATTGGCAGTTCCCGGTATTGAAAGTGAAATTAGAACTGAATTAGCTTTCCTAGAGTCTAGTTCCAAAAGTGAAGTTTCCCACAGTGTTAAGCTGGAGGAGGACGAAAATACTGGTGCTGAAGAAAATGGGGAGAGGATAGGTGAAATTGAGGGTACCAATTCAAATACGGAGTTTAAGATAGATTCAATTCCTGATCTAGAACATGCTTCTCCTGCAAGGGCAGCTCCTGCCATTGAAACTGCAATTAGAACTGAATTAACTTCTGTGGAGGCTAGTTCCAAAAGTGAACTTCCCCACAATGTTAAGCTGAAGGAGAAAGCAAATACTAGTGCTGAGGAAAATCGGGAGAGAATGGGTAAAATTGAGGGTACTGCTTTGATTACGGAGTCTAAGATTTAGTTCCTGATCTAGAACAATCTTCTCCTCCAATGGCAGCTCCTGCTATCGAAAGTGAAATTAGAACTGAATTAGCTTCTTTAGAGTCTAGTTCCAAAAGCGAAGTTCCCCACGGTGTTAAGCTGGAGGAGGAAGAAAATACTGGTGCTGAGGAAAAAGGTGAGAGGACTGCTAAAATTATGGGCACTGCTTTGAATACAGAGTCTGAGATGGATTTAGCATTGGATGAAGTTTCTGCTCAAGTGGCAGCTTCTGAAAACAGTATTGAAAGTGAAATCACAATTCAATCTACTTCTTTAGGAGCCTGCTCCAGTATTGAAATGCCTCACAGTCTTGAGTTCCAGGAAAGTGGAAATGATGATGGTGGTGAAGAAGCTTCTCAGAAATCTGTGTCGAGGAACATAGCATAAATGCATCAAAAAGGTTAGTGATGATCGAGGATGCGGATGAAGGTAATGTTGGTGAAATTAAGCTGAACTCCACGTTATCTGAGGTAGATTCAATTCTCAATGAGGCTGCGCTCCATAAACCAGTGAATCAATCTATTGAAAGTGACACAGTTGAGAGCTCAAAAATGGTAAATTCTCTATTTTTGTTTATATTGCACTTAATCATGTTTCTTTTGGGTGTTTATATTCAACTTGGATATCTCAGTCAACATTATATAAGTGTAATACTATAAATAATGACAAAATTGGTGATGGGATATTGAATGGTTTTCCCCCTTCTCCTAGTTCAAATAATTTTACATAGAAAGTAATCATCAATAATCCTTATTGCTTTTTGGTGCCATCAGAGCTGTAAAGACAGAGGCCTTCGCAGGTGGAGACGATGCTTATTTTATTGCCTGCCAGAACTGGCTAGGTATTGCTGATGGAGTTGGTCAATGGTCTCTTGAAGGTGTTATTCTTTTTAGTTATCCCAGGTTTTGTTTTCAGCAGGATATATATCAAATTACATTAAATGTATGTTGAATAACTATCATCCGATGTTTTGCAATGTCTGGACTGAGTTATTTGTTTCCTATCTTATCCCCCAGGGATTAGTGTTGGAGTATATGCAAGAGAACTTATAGAAAACTGTGAAAGAATTGTCTCTGATAGAAATGGAGTTCCAGTAACTGACCCATTTGAGGTCCTTAATAGAGCTGCTGCAAATACTCAATCTTGTGGTTCATCTACGGTTTTGGTTGCTTACTTTGATGATCGGGTATGTTGTCATTCAACTTGACTTGCTTTTCTCCTAATCAAATTTCAATTAGTTATTTGTAAAACTGTTGTTTGTCAATATATGCATGGACTGACGACTGATGCTAATTGTTAGCCGGTCAATCTACTTTGATGGAATGGATATAGTTCTTTTCGCAATGATTTAATTCTAATCGAGAAAATAAACAAAAAACGATCTGAGAATGAACTTGGTTTTCCTTTCTACAACTCATACTTGGGAGGCTATGCCTCTATGGATCTGCAGGCTCTCCATGTGGCCAATATCGGTGATTCAGGCTTCATGATCATAAGAAACGGTGCTGTATTTAAAAGGTCCTCCCCAATGCTGCATGAGTTGAATTTTCCTGTACAGATTGAAAACGGAGACCATCCATCTAACTTTGTAGAGGTATACCATTTGAATTCCATTTCTAGTAAGAGTCTCTTACAATTTTTTTAAAAGGCAGCACCATATCTTTTGAAGACGATTATCGAGTGTCATTTAGGCTAGAAAATGGAGGTAAAAGGTTCGTTTCTCCCCCAACCACTTCTCTTCCTCATTTAGAAAGGTGAAATAGTAAGGACAATCTTTTTACACGTGCCTGCTGATTTCTTGCAGATTTACAGGATTGACTTGGATGAAAATGATGTGATTATCGCTGCAACTAATGGACTATTTAAAAATCTCTACGAGAAAGATATCGCTTCATTCGTCTTCAAATCGTTGCAAGAGAATTTGAGGCCCCAGGTGCTTATCACTGATCTTGTCATCTCCATCTCCTTTCCCAAATATAGTAGTAAAATGTGTAAGTTGCATATTCGAAATGATAAAACATAGTCTATGTGCATGCAGGAAATAGCAGAACTCTTGGCAACCAGTGCGCAAGAGTTTGGTCGATTATCAGTGGTTAGGAGTCCATTATCAGATGAAGTTCAGGCAGCCGGCTATGCAGGATACAGGGCCGTAAAGCTCGATGATGTAACCGTTATCGTTCGTTGGTGAAAAGCCTTCTCTGCACATGCATTGCCTTTAGCCTATATATGTATTTTTTTTCTTGCACAAAACATCCATGCATGTCGGATTTGTTACATAAACTCTGATGTGAATATGTTAGAAAAAATTTCATATATTTGAAATATCATACTCTTATATGCATGTCTAAAAAGTGCCCGACGTAGGTGATATACATATATACTTTATGCGAAAAAAGGGTATAACATCAAAATTCATCCTTACCCTTTGATCAAAAAATCAATTTAGGGTCTATTCTTTTTTCTTGAAGCATTTAACCCTCGACATTTAACTTTTGGTCAAAATGAACTTTTTTTTAGCTGAAAACTGTCATTTAATTAACAATCAACATTTTTTTAACCAACAAGATAGATCCCTCCGTCATCATTTGATTGGTTGTAATTAGTTTAACTAAAATTTATTAGACGTATCATCAATTAATCACATGTTAAAAAGACACGTCAACATTTTAATTCATGTGAATTTACTTTGTCAGTAAAAAAAAGTTGACGATTAACTATTTCCTTTAAAAAATATATTATTGTGATAAAATGGAATGTTAACGATTATAATGCTTCAAAAAGAATAATAATGATTATAGTGATTATTCAATTAAAAACTAAGAACCTTTCTAGCATTATTAAAAAGAATAATAATGATTATAGTTACTATTCAATTAAAAATGTTATTTTTTGCATCTATTCATATACAAAAAATTCTTGTTGTTTATATGAGTGATCTTCTAAAAAATATTTTTGGATCCGTTAGTGTTATCGGATATCGATTACTAAATGTTATCGATAAGGCTCCTGATATTATCCTTTCATTCTCTCCAGGGATAGATTGATGGGGACAGACGGTGATAGTCATCCCTCCTGAAATTTTAAAAATACTATATACTTATGAATATTTTTACCCTAAATTCAATTCCACTCTGACCAGAATTTCTTTTATACAACCCAGTCGAGTCGTCTTAAACTTGAATTTAAATATTTTGATATCTCTAAATCCTATTCAAGACACACCATTACCTAAGAAAAAGGCTAAATTGGTGGGTGAATGGAGGAGGCTTCTTGTAAACACTATATGTTCCAACCAAAATTATAACAATGGTGGAAGACAAGCATCACCAAAATTTCAAACTTGCCTTTGAATTGATTTGTTTGACTACTATGATTACCCCCCCCCATCATAATGTGAAATGAAATTCCTACACTTGTTTTACAAGTGGAATTTGCCTTACTTCTTGAGGTTATAAATACATGCACTTTGTAATCAAATAAAGTAATGTGAAATCGAATTTATTTCAAACTGGAAAACCACATAAAAGAAATGGACATTTTTGTCTGAGTTAAGTTTACAAAATGTTCTCCTATTAAATTGGTTTATAAATTTAAAAATGTTTTATAATATAATATTATGGATTTAAGTAAAGTGTTTAATACACTAAGATACAAGATGTATATTACATGTTGTCTATATTTTGTCAAGTAATTATCTTGAGGGTTAAACTTATTTTAATCTATTAAAATTATAATTAAATTGATAGAATGTATAAGTAAAATGGACTAAATGTGTAATTATACCAAAATTTTTAACTGTCGTGTCACCTATTTCATTAAATGTTAACGATAAGTGACTTGATTGACACAATTAAATGGTGAAGTGATATGATGGACAAAATTTTAAATTTGATGGTCAAAATGAAAAGATGTAATTAACTTACCCTAAAATTTAATCTGCTTTTTAAAGATCTAAGTCACGAGTTCAATTTTCAAGATCTTCAACAACAAATTATTATTTTTTAATTAGTGGAGAATGGCATTGGCGCGTTAACGAAAATGTCAAAATAGGATGATATTGATAATTGCCCGTCCAACTCAATTGGTAGAGCGCAAGGCTCTTAACTTTGTGGTCGTGGGATCGAGTCCCACGGTGGGCAATTCATAATTCTGACTGTCGGAGGTCTTCCACAGAAGCTGCTCTCAACCTGGCATTGGGGGCACAACCTACTACCTTACCTCCTCCTCACCCCATTACATATGAGAATAGGGAATAGGGTCAGCTAATTTGAGTACTGATACATAATGTTTTAAAACTCAAGGTCCAATTTAAAATGGAAATCATAGTTTAGAGATTAATATTAAATGACTGAAAGTTTTCGGATCAATTTAGAATGGGGTCATAATTTAAGGACACCATGTACAATTGTTTCATTTTGTTTTTGTTCTCTCACGACATGTGTCTAGGATCGGGTTCCCTTTTTAACATGGCCTATAGGCATTTGGAATTATTTCATATCACCGGTTGGCATGCCATGGCAGCCGGATAGAGAAAGAGGAAAGGTCATGTATAGCGGAATCTCACATTAAATTTAGGCAAAAAGGGCATCAAATATATTTATATTTTGAAAAAAAATTAATATAGTCATCATATTATATCTTTAATGTAGCTTTCTATTTCTGAAAATATATTTAATGTGGTCCTTTAATCAATGTTTCATTTATCGTTACAGCATTGACATGTCAGTTCACAATGTTGATGTGGTAGTATAAGATACTAACATGGCAGTCTATCTGCTATGTTTGAGTTTCTAATTTAGTCAATATATCATGTCATCTGTCACGTTAATCTAACACCTTTGACTATCATATCAGCGTTGTGGATTGTCACGTCAGTATCGTGAACTGCCACATCAACACCGTGACGGTCAACAGCGAAAAAAACGTATGTCAAATGGCCACATTAAATTTATTTTATGAGTTGGAGAGCCACATTGAGAGAAAAAATAATGAGGACCCCGTTGAATTTTTAAAAAATATATAGAGATATTTGATATTTTTACTTTAAATTTTTAAAAATGAGTTTGTAAATTTAAATTTTAACGTGTAAGTAAAATAAATTAAATTAAAATAATCATTTTTAAATTTTAACGTGTAAGTAAAATAAATTAAATTAAAATAATCATTCTTATCGTGATTTTTTATATTTAAATTATTTTAATAAATAAATTAAATATTGATTGATCATAAATAAATATAACATGGAATATGAAGGTGGCGAGCTGTTGGTAATTATGCTAAGGCACAACTCATTGGCTCACCTTTTTAAAGTCGATAGGAAATTTAACTTTTCGAACTTCGGCCAACCTCAACTATCTTAGCTACGTGTAAAATGTTAATGGAATTGGGACCACCAAATGATCAATTTTATCCGTTTTAGTATCTAAACTTTTAATTTTTTTAAAATTATATCTAATGTTTAGTTTTTATTTCATTTTAGTATCTCACCGTTAAAAACTTAAAGGAATTTAATATCTAAACTATCAATTTTGATATGTTTTAGTACCTAAACTTTAAATAAAAAGATTCAAAATTTAAATTTTGAACAGGGTTGCTAACATGAAATAAAAACTAAACTTTAGATATGATTTAAAAAAATTAGATATTGAAACAGACTTAAATTAATAGTTTATGTACTAAACATGCAATTTACCCTAAAAACCATGGTACACTCATTGCTTCTTGCCCGACTCCACTTCATTCTAGTTTTACACAAAAGTTTATTTGAATTTTTATAATTAAAATATACTTGAATTATTGTACTTCATAAAATTCAAAATTCAAATTTTATTTTCAAAAATAAAATTAAATCAAATTTCATCAAATTATATAATTATTTGTGTATACAAATCATCGATTAATCTTTATAGTTTAATTTGATTAATTATATATATTTTTTATCCCTCTCGTTAACCATATACATCATTATCCGATTTTATTTTTTACTTAAATATATACAAAAGAAAATTTATATAAAAAATAGTATTTATTTCAGCTTATTTTCTGAGGTTGTATCTTTTTTGTCACATGCAATAAAGACATATAAAAACATATTGAGTGACCTCAATGATAAAACAAATATAATTCTCTATAGATGAATTAAAATCTAGCAGTTGCATCTATAACGAATGTGTTGTCGCGTGCTAAGAAAAATTTTAAATAAATATTACCATATAATAATTCCAAATTATCTTAATCTTTATATTTTAGTTTTATCATTTTTATTCATATTTTCACCTCTTTCATTAACTGTATATACCGTTATCCGATTTTATTTTTATATAAATATCACTTAAAAAAGATTTAATATCGAAGGAAGCGTGGAGGGAAGTTTTTGGAAATATGTTATATTTCGAGAGGGATCGGTGTCTGGGGAAATAAGGTTGCTTGGACGATTGTAAAGCTCAAGGGTGAAGCGTTTATTTCGATTCTTCTGAGAATTGTTTGGAGTGCTTATATTTTTTTTTAGATAATTCAGATTTTTTATTACCCAAACTAGAAAAGTTTTGCTACAAACCAATCAACCAATCAGAACATAAAATAACATTGCACAACCTAAACAAAACAATGATTGGTACAAAAAACTATAAGCCCCAAGCATTACACAAGGAAAGATTAGTGCTATCAATCCTATTGATGGTTTTTCCCCTAAGACTTAATCGGACAGCCTCATAAATTTCAGTAAAAAGTTGTTCTGCAGATCTAGATCGAGCTTGAAAAATTCTTTGGTTTCTTTCCTGCCATATAGAATAGATGAAAGCAGACCAAGCAATCTTCACAATAGAGGTAATTTGGGACTTCCATTTCCATGAAGTGATTGCTCTATAAACCATCTCGTTCCATGACAAATGTGATGCATTCATACCATTCACATTCAAAATAATATTCCATAAGCGATCTGCTAATGAACAGTCTGCGAAAAGATGGTTTCGAGTCTCAGGATAATTACTACAGTTAACACATAAAGCAGCAATGTTAATGCCCATATTTTGCAGACGATCTCTTGTAGGCAATCTGTCTTGAATGGCCATCCAGACGATTAAACAATGCTTCGGTATATGCAATGGAAACCAAAGGAGATTATGCCAAGGGACTTTTTGGCTTTTAGGTCTAATATCATCCCAAATATCCTTAATCGCATTAGAATCAGCACTGAATTGCAGATAATCAGTCCTCATTTTGAGAATTTTCCTGGTACTCCAACTGATACTGGAGTGCTTATATTTATCATGTGTGGAATGAGAGAAATTTAAGGGTTTTTGGAGGAACTCAGAGGAATGCAGTTGAATTGATCGGGGGGATTAAGGAGGAGGTCCGGTTGCGTTTATCAGGCGTCGTTATTCGCTCGGGAGAGATGAATGATAAGCTGTGTATAGCTTGGGACATTACTAGATAGTTGCTAATTAACAACATATTAAGTAGTCTTAATAGTAAAGAGAATATTATTCTCCTTAGATAATTCAAATTCAAACAACTGTATCTACAATATGCGTGTTATCAAATATAATTCAAATTTCTCCTTAGATAGTTTAACATCTTAATTTTGTGACATTAGTAAAAGACACACCATATATGCTGTAAATTTCTTGAATTAATTTTTTGTTTATATAATAAACATAATTCAAATTCAATTCTTGAAAAGAATTGTTTTGTTATGGTAAGAAATCAAGGGAAGCTTGACACCTACTCCTTTGCTTTGAACCGACGAGTGTGAACCCACATGCCTCTCTTTCTCAGTTTATCTCCCCAATAAATTCCCCCTCAGCCCTCTTCCCCTCCATTTTTTTATATCTTCCAAAAAGCTTTCTCTTCTCTTCTGCATCTTCTTCCCCAAACCCACTTCTTGTTGCTTCCCCTGTTACTGTTTCATATCTCATCAATGGCAGCGTCAAGATTCTCTCTTGCTCTGTCCCTCGCCATTCTCTCGATCTTGGCCGTCGATGCCGACCACCACCATGCGGCGGCGCCGTCTCCTTCCTCCTCCGTTGACTGTTCCTCTCTGATTCTCAACATGGCGGATTGTTTGTCGTTCGTGTCGAGTGGGAGCAAGGCGTCGAAGCCCGAGGGAACGTGCTGTTCCGGGTTGAAAACCGTGCTGAAATCCGGACCCGAATGCTTGTGCGAGGCCTTTAAGAGCAGTGCTTCTCTTGGTGTTTCTCTGAATATCACCAAGGCCATGACGTTGCCCGCTGCCTGCAAAGTCTCTGCTCCTCCTTCTGCCACTACCTGCGCGTGTAAGTTAACTCGGCTTTCCTTTTTCTGGTTCAAAATGTAGTTAAAAGGGGCTTCAAAGGGGTAAAGTTTTGATCTTCTTTGGGGGGAAATCTGTCATTTTTATGTTGCAGTGAAAAAACCCAGATTTTGATTCTTAAAACTGATTATTATTTACATATTTTGCAGTGTCTCCTGCTGGTGCTCCTGGTATGTTCTGATAAATCTAATCCTTAATTCCTGAAAAAAAAACATTTCAATCTTTTGTTTCTTTCTGTTAAAACTGTTCAATTGGCTGTCAAATTTGTAGGTATGGCACCATCAGCGATAGCAGGTGCGCCGGAGGCATTCTCAGGAGGAGCAACTGTGTCGGCGCCGACACCGGCTACCGGCAGCACGGGCGGCGCTCCGGTGCTTGTTGCCTCGATCGGACCTCTTGTCTCAGGCCTGGTGGTTTTTTAATGTATAGCTACTAAGCTATGTATCTTATGATGTGTTCAGTTTAGCTTGCCCTTTGGTTTTGATGAGCCATCGTTTTGAGTATGAGTCTGATATTAAGAACTCGGATTGTATGTTGATTTGCCATAATATTTCTAGTTATCTCATTTTGTTTGTTGATTTGGCATGTGAATTCATTCGATTCGAGTTAATTTAAATTATAATGGTGATTTTTAATTGGAATTTGGTAATTTAGAGTTAACTTGAAAATAGAAATAATTTTAATATTTTAATTGTTTTGCTATATGATTCCTAATTTTTCTATTCCTTTCACCTTCTTATTTACTTATTTATTTTAAGTTTAATTTTATCAAATTTAAATCACATATTCTTCTATCATTATATTATATTTATACAACTTTAATTTCTTTATATAATTTTAATTTCTATTTTACTCGCCGTATTTTCAATTTTTATTTCTTTGAATTATTTTATTATTATTTTCATATGATTTATTTCTTTGAATTATTTTATTATTTTTTATATGATGTGTTATTTTTATTATTATTATTTAATATAAAAAATAGAAGGTGGTTGGATACCATCATTGACCACCGTAGATGGTGGTCGTTCTACGGTGGTCGTTTGATCCTTAATTTCATGGGTCATTTTATCTCGACAACGTGAGTTCTAATATGACTTCTGTTTTATCAGATCTTGCTTCGAACAAATTAGAGATTGAAAGTGAGGAAACTGAAACATTTTAGTCGAGCTTCATAGGTTTTTGGACATTTTTTAATGAAACAACTACCATATTCGAATTCAAGGTTGAGATGAATTGACCCATAAAATTTAGGATCGAACTATCACCATCTACGACGGTCGACGCTGTCATCTAACCACCTTCTATTTTTATTTTATTTTTTCAATTATTTTATATTAAATTATAATAAAAAAGTGCCATGTCATATCGAAATAATAATAAAATAATTCGGAGTGACCGAAACATAAACAATTTGAAAGTTTAGTGAGTAAATTAAAAAATTAAAAATACGATGAGTAAGATAGGAGATAAAATATAGTTCAGTGAGAAATGATGTAATTTAGCCTTTAATCTTTGGGTAAAGTAAATAAATGATTTATGATTGTAGGGTGGGTTCTGTTAAAAGTTATAATTAATAGTTATAAAATGATTATAACATGTTGTTTTGTTAAGTATTTCGACTATTAAAAATTATAAAATGGTCACTCAACTATTTATTATGTTTCAAATTCATCATATTATATTAAAAAAATGAAAGTTGTTTAAGATAGACCTTAACATAATGATTGAGATATAATAGTCGTTTGAGATTCTAGGATCATATTCTATCATATCACAATCAATATGTTATGGTGATGGTGATGATTGGAATATGATAATCGTTTGAGATTCTGAGACCAGATTCTATCATATCACAGTCATTCATTGAGATCAGAATATCGTCCATTTTTTAATCGAAAAGGATGATTTTTGAACATGATAAATAGTTGGGTGACCATTTTGTAACTTTTAATAGTCGAGGGATTCAACAAAGTAATATTTTATAGCCAGATGATCATTTTATAATTTTTAATAGTTAATAAACTTAATCAAACAATACCCTATAACCACGGTACCATTTTTATACTTTACCCTTAATCTCTTAATCATTCAACCTTATTCAATTTGATGTTATGATTATTCTTTTTTTATTTCATTTTTTTACTATCAATTCATCTATTCGTTTATATTCAATTTGATCTTATGGGCTTTTAGGGTGGAGTTTTCTCTTATTTGTGTGTCGGTTATCTCTTTTCTTTTTCATCTTTGTTGATTGGCGGCGACATCAATTTTAATATTGGTTATCGATAGTTGATATTTATTTATTTTATTTTTTCTCTTTTATTGTATCTCTATTTTTTTTAATAAGTCTGCATGTACGACACATTTTCATCTGCCCTTATGGAACGTTTTCATATATCTTTGTGAAATTTTTTCTTTTGTATTTTGGCATATTTTTAGATCGTTTTATTATTTTTTTTTCATTTATCTTTTTATAAGGGTTGATTTAACATCGTCACGACTGATTAAGATGACTCTTATATAATATCTTATTGATATTCCTTACTTTGGACCATTGGAGTGGATTTAAATTCCCGTTTTGCGTTCGTAGATAATTTTTCAAGTCGCTCGAGTCTGATTTGTAATTTTATCGGTGATCTTTTAATAGTTTGATTCCCTTTTGTGGTTCGTTTGGCGATGCGATCAGATCTATTTGTATCTATCTTTGTTTGAGGTTTTTTTGTTAGATTTTTTATCTTTCTTCATATGGTCCTCATGATCTTAAGTTGCTAGTTTTATATAAATTATTATAGGAAATTGTCCTAATTATGTGTTTAATTTAATTGTAAATATTTATTGTAATTTGAGATATTTTATATTCTAATAAAATTAGTTTCTTCCGTTAAAAAATTGATCTTATCAATTTTCTTAATTCGTTTATATTCGATTTGATGCTATCAATTTTCTCAATTCGACTAGATCGAATACAGACCCCATTTAACAATATGCGATCTTCCTGGTCCTAGCTTGCATGTCTCTATCAATGGCAGCTTCGGCCTCTGTGAACGAAGGGTTCTGTTGTGTTTTGGACAACTTAACTTTCATCTCAACAATTTGACAAGAAAATGTAACGTGAAACACTATAATTTAGGGTTCTAGTTCCAGTTTTGAAGAACATATCCGAACTGCATCAGCCACAGTGAGGAAGATCCTTTCCTCACCGATCAAATCTGCAAACTTTGAGGCATGCAGCTTGTCGACCACAGCTGGCCCTGGATTTGATAAAACTAGCTTAACATTCTTCTTTTCAAGCCCTAAACAACTCTTCAAGAGCATGGATGCCACTACTGTCAATGCCGGTAACAGCTGCAAGAACATGCAATTTTCATAAGACAAGGAACCCATCTTTCCAAACTTTAAAAAGAAGAGAATCCGGGTTCGATCAGTTCTGTCTATAGAGTATCAGGTTTCCGTCTTTATATATATGCAAAAAATTCTTGTTAAGAGACTCACTCATCAAAATTAAATACACGACATAGTTTGATTCGGAAATAATCACAGCGAAACTTTGAAACTGAGAGTAAAAAAAAATCAAAATAAGACATATAGTAGAATTAGAGCCCTACTTGTGGGGGAAAATTCTACAATCCGAGCATGAAATAATTTATTTTCATATATATATATATATATATATATATATATATATATATATATATATATATATATATATATATTATTATTCATGTACACAATATAAAACTTAAAAATCTTATATCTGGATTAAAGATAATTTATCCTTTTATTTCGTAAAAAGTATTTTATTTTATACTATTAATTTCAATATTCATTTTTTCTAATTAACGATTTAAAAAATATGCGTGTAAAATTTTTACAATGTGCCATGTGAAGACACTTGTCTTTGCCATTCTTAATTTCCCTCACTGGCAGTTCCTTCCTGCCCCCATCAACCCCCGAAATTGTCAGAAACAAACAAGGACCACCCCGACCTTAGTTAGGATCGGGTAAAATTTGAATCGATTTAAAAAATTAATTTTTTTTAAATTGATTTGATTTGAAAAAGTTTGATTCAGATTAGCTTCGATTTGTAATTTTATTAACTTCGGAAAAAATTTAAATTTAAATCTAGTTATAAAATACAACTCGAATAACTCAAAATTTAGTACTTAATAGATTGATTTCAAGTTTGAGTCTAATCTCTCGATTTTGAATAATATATGTATATCACAGTTGAATAAAATATGAAGATATATATGTATGTATTTATATATTATATGAATATGAAAAATCATTTACCTTGGAATCAATTAATATCGTAATATTGTAAATATTTATAATTAAATTTAAATAAAAACTCAAAAAATCGATTCGACTCGAATTTTATGAACTCAATTGGAATAAAAAAAATTTAAGTCAAATTTGAGTTATAAAATAAGTTTCATCAACTCAAATAACTCAAAACATTTTACCTTGTTCACCCTTAACCTTAGCTACTATTGTCTTTGTGGCTCCACCCATTGGCCATTGCATTGAAAAAGAAACATACGGCTGAAGTTTTGGGCCGTTATAAGAGCCACCGCCAATGGCCCAACACTAAGTGATAAGGTTTGCTCGACTGTCTAAACTTGGAACTCATCATTGTTACATTGTATTTATTGAAATAAAATGAAATGTATTTAAGTGGTCATTTCCTAAAACTCAACCAACTTACCTTAGTGGTTAAAAGATTCGTTATTATTCTCAGAGGTCATTGGTTCGAGCACCAACAGCTGTAGCAGGGTGATTGACGGTTTATTGTCAAATGATTGATAGTATTCAGAACATACATTACTTTGTAATCATTTTATCTTAATCAAAACAAAAGTGTACGGTCATTTCCTAAAACTCACGTGTTTGAGCACCAGCGACTGCAACAGGGTGATAGAACGTTCATTGTCAAAGTTGAGAGTATTTAAAACAAATACTACTTTTATAATCACCTTGGCTTAATAAAAACGGTATGATTCTTTTCTCGTTCATTTAGCTTAACAAACAAGCATAAACGAACATCATACGAACGATTCACGAACAGTTCACCGAATACTATTCATTTATACCCCTAATCATAAAACATTATTGAATTATAAGTGATCCTTTAAATTCAATCTGTTTTTTTATTATAAATTCAATCTATTTTATTTACAATATAATGACATGAATCATAAATCTTATTTAAAAAATTTAATGCATTGTTCTGTTAGAACAATTGTTAAAGGATTGATTTTTTTTAAATTCATACACTTAAATATATATATATATATATATATATATATATATATATATGGATTATGATCCATTTATACGGTATAGAACTCTTTTAAATTAACTAACAAATAATTTCAGTACTTCATTAATTCAAATAATTTATTTATCTTAAATATTAATTTAGACAAAAAATGATACTTAAATATAAATTTAAACTAACAAATTAAATTTAAATATTTGATTAAAAAATTAAATATCAATTTTCCTTTTAAAACTAAATTTAAATCTCGAATTTTATAATATTTTTTTATTCAATTAGGTATTTGAATTTAATTTGACATCTAAATATTTTTTTGTAGGGTTATGTATACTCAAACTTAGATTCTAGGTTCAAATTAATACCTAAAATTAACTTCATAATTTAAATTGATTCAAATAAAAGTTATTAATTTAGACAAAATAATATTTAAATATAAATTTAAACTAACAAATTAAATTCAGGTATTTGATTAAACAAATAAATAAAATATCAAATTTTATTTTAAAATTAAATTTAAATCAAAAAATATATATTTACTTTGTTAAATCAAATGCCAATCCAGAAGACTTGGAGTCATCACGAGGGATGGAATACTAAATTAACTCCTTTTCTGTTTGAAGAATAATAATATAATTACTTATAAGATTGTCCTATTAGGGTAAATTACACCACTCCTCATTGAACTATACTCTTTTTTCTATTTTACTCATCTTACTTTAAATTTTTCTAATTTACTCATTAAACTTTCCAATTACTCTTGTTTTTATCACTCTGAATTATTTTATTATTATTTTCACATAATATGACATTTTTATTATTACTTAATACAAAATAATTTAAATATAAAATAAAAATATAAGGTGGCCGGACACAACCATCGGCTGTCGTTGATTGTCGTAGACGGTAGTTGTTCGGTCTCAAATTTCATTGGTCACTTCGCCTTGATACCGTGAGTCCGAATCCGACCTCCATTTTGTCGAAATATGCTCCAAAATCTACGAATTAGAGACTGAAAGTGAGGAAGTCGAAACGTTTCAATCGAGATTCACGAGTTTTGGGACATTTTTCGGTAAAACAACCACCAGATTCAGATTTAGTGATTGAGAGAACTAATCCATAAAATTTGAGACTGAACGACTACCATTTACGACGATCGGCGGTGGCATCCAACCACCTTCTATTTTTATTTTATATTTTCAATTATTTTATATTAAATAATAAAAAATGTCATGCCATACAAAAATAATAATAAAATGATTCAAAGTGATAAAAACAGGAAAAATTCAAAAATGTAGTGGGTATATTAGAAAAAATGGAAGTACGATGAGTAAAATAAGAGAGAGTATAGTTCAGTGAAAAAATGGTGTAATTTTCCCTTTTTATTATTCAAATTTATATATATAAGAAAAAATTATTTAAAAAATATATAATACTGTTCACGCAGAACAAACTTCTGTTCTTGTACAGATTATCAATTGATTGGGTCAAAACCTCAAATGGTTCGTCTACTGGCCATCTTCGTCTCTCCGTCGGTGTTAAGGTTTCCCTTTTTACCCTATTTTTTATTTTCAATTCTTTCCTTTTCTCTGAAGAAAACTTTTTTTTTTTGTTCTTTTAGCTTAGTTTTCTGGGATTATACTGCTCATGAATTTGTTCGTAGCCGTTTTATTGGAAAATTTGTCACTTGGAATTGAAACATAGAAGGTGGATCCTTTAATTTCTTCTTGAATTCGTTCATGGCTATTAAATTGTTTGTAGCTAAATTGTTCTTACTTAATTTAGCTGTTACTTGTCTCAGCTTTACGATCGCTGCAAATTTTTTGAATTAATTGAGGATTTTTGTGGAGAACCCTTGTTGAATTCTTGAACTTGGGAATTTGGGTTCTTCTTGTTCTTGCTGGATGAGAAGTGATCAAAACGTTGACCATTTTATTTGACTTTTAATTGGTTTCTGAGAAAAATTAAGGATAGTTAAGGAAGTAAGTTGTTCATATTCTTTAGAATTGATCTTTGAACTTTGTTTATTTGCCCCCCTTTTTATGCTTAATATTTCAGTTTGCTGGCTATATTTTTTTGTTGATGGTCTTCCTTCAAGCAGATGGTAATGCTGTAAACTAAAGCTTTCGGCCTTATAATTCGACTTTGACACCTTCCATTTTACTCTGCTTTTTTGTTCTTGTCTCAGATACCAGATAATCTTTTTTGTTGATTAAGATCTTTAGCCATCAAAGGCTGCTCTGGCGTTGATATATTAATATCTTGCAATCAATTAAGATATCGATGGGGGCATTCTTAAGTCTAAATAATCCCAGGGCTGGAATGAGTGAACCCGTAGACGTTTCGCGAAACGGAGCATGCAAAAGGCAAAAGTTGTCATCATGTGATTGCGAAGAGAATCCGAGATTGATTCCCAGCCTTCCTGATGAGATATCTTATCTGATTCTTGCCAGAATTCCAAGGATTAATTACTTGAATGTGAGGTTAGTGTCTCGAGCCTGGAAAGCTGCCATCATGAGTACTGAACTTTTTAATACAAGGAAAGAACTTGGAACAACAGAGGAATGGCTCTATATATTGACCAAGGTCGAAGGCGACAAACTTTTGTGGTATGCTTTGGACCCATTGTCAAGAAGGTGGCAGAGGTTGCCTCAAATGCCAAATGTTGCTTTAGAAGATGAATCCAGGAAAGGTTTAGCCAGCCTTTGGATGTGGAATGTTGTCGGCTCCGGCATAAAAATTGCAGATGTTGTTAGGGGTTGGCTTGGCCGGAAGAATGCATTGGACAGAATGCCGTTTTGTGGCTGTGCCATCGGTGCCGTTGACGGCAGCCTCTATGTGTTGGGAGGATTTTCTAGAGCTTCAGCGCTGAGGTGTGTTTGGCAGTATAATCCAGTTTTAAATTCATGGAGTGAAGTAAATTCAATGTTATCAGGTAGAGCCTATTGTAAGACTGCCATCTTAAATAATAGGCTATACGCCGTTGGAGGGTTTACCAAGGACCATGGTGGTTTAACTCCACTTCAGTCTGCTGAAGTCTTTGATCCTCGAACTGGTATATGGTCCCAAATTCCTAGCATGCCGTTTTCGAAAGCTCAGGTTCTACCCACTGCTTTTCTGGCTGATCTACTCAAACCAATTGCCACAGGAATGACATCATATAGGGGAAGATTATTTGTTCCTCAGAGTTTATATTTCTGGCCGTTTTTTGTTGATGTCGGAGGAGAGGTATATGATCCAAAGGTAGATTCATGGGTCGAAATGCCGGCAGGCATGGGTGATGGTTGGCCTGGAAGACAGGCCGGAACAAAGTTGAGTGTCACCGTGGATGGTGAGTTGTATGCACTTGATCTGGCTAATTCTCCTGAAAGTGTGAGGATTAAGGTATATGATTACCAAGATGATGTTTGGAAAGTGTTAGGAGAGGTCCCGATTCACAACTTCACTGATTCCGGCTCTCCCTATTTGCTTGCCGGTTTACTAGGAAAGATCCATGTGATTGCTAAAGATGCCAACAATATCTCTATCCTACAGGCTGATGTGCAAAACCATGTTTCCTCACCATCAGCTTCATCATCTTCATTGGATAGCTCCACCGGTGCGCATCTCGAGTCTGCAGAACCTGCTACAACATCCGAAACAGTTCTTTGGAGGGTTATTGCTACAAGGGTGGCCGGATCTTCTGAACTAGTAAGTTGTCAGACCCTCAATATATAGTGCCTCGATTGGAATACTTTCCGAAAACTGTTCTGTTGCTCTTATTTGTTTCATCAGAAAGATTGATCATACAAGTGGCAAACTTTTCCCTTCTATGCTTGTTTAATGTAAAGAAAAGAAACACTTTGAAAAGAAATACTAGATGATGGATATAGTAAAGTTACAAATTGCATTCCTGCAGATTATAACATAAAGGATGACAAGATTTTTAGCCAACCATTTGTTACCAGGTTATTTTGTTACTTTTACATGATGATTATACCATGGGATGGGATGGGATGGCATGGCTGAGAATACTGATGTACTCTCTTGAAGCAAAGTTTTTCCAGCCGGATCCATTATGCTTCTATGATGCACTTTCTTTGCCCGAAAGCTCGGGTTCTGATATACTCTGCATCACCAGGACCGAAACCCAGAATATGCACCCAAACTATGCCGGCATTGACTCCGCCGTAAATTTCTAAACCTAGGGAGGAAAATGTGTCTTCCATTATCTTTGTGTTCTTGTAGTAGTCGATCACCTCACCTCACGTCACGGATAGCCTGGTACACATTTGATGCCAAAGCTGAACATTTATGTGCAAGGCTTTCCTGGACCTGCTTCTAGTAGTTAGACTTACCTGAAAACCTTCTGGTGGAAGGCATGCTAGTCCACCAGCCTGAGCCATGTTGGATGCTCGATTGAAGCAGGTGCATACAATGTGATTCAAATCGTGTATGACAAGGAAACCCACCTGAAAAAACAAGTGTTTTTCGGGGACTGACGACCTCTTCTCTTAGCTACATGACATGTCGGCAATGTACCTCTTTGGCGCCGGGAATTTCAGAGATCGATTTAGGCCTGTCATCGAGACATAGGTTGCATAACTGGAGTCAAAAATAATAATCGATCCCTTGCGAACTGTACGTGATTGTAATTGCTTTCGTGTTGCTGCATTACGATTATTTGGCGAATAATTGGACTGATGTTAAATCAGGGAAGGAATTATTTGGAGGGCCAAGCTGCGACTACTCGAAAAATTATACCAAAAAATTATAAATCACATTAACATATACCTAAATAATTATTTTAAAATTTATAAGAAAATACGTATTTGTGATTATATACCAAAAAATACATAGCGTATTTCTTAATTTAAGACAACCAATAATAATTTACACCTGAATATCAGTCCATGGGATTTAACTTACACAGCAGCGCACTTTGGTATATGGTTATTTTATTATAGGATAAATTACACCAGGTACCATTGAACTTTAGGCATTGTATCATTTATATAGTTTACCCTTTATTATATTACATATATACCATGGGAAGACATGGCTGGTGAAAACCACCTCATTGTTTATTCTAGAGACTTAAAAAGGGGGATTTTCCCATGGAGAAAAGTTTTTCCAGCCTCCAAGATGCTTCTATGATGCGCACTCTTTTCCCGAATGCACTGATTCTGATATACTCGGCGCCACCGGGACCAAAACCAGATCCCGGTACTGTTATTATATGAGTCTTCTCGAGAATTTCTGTGAATACATTCCATGATTCTGAACCTGGAAAATGCACCCAAACATATGGGGCGTTGACACCGCCGTAAACTTCTAAACCAAGTGAAGCAAATGTGTCTACCAATATCCTAGCATTCTCCTTGTAGTAGTCGATCACCGTGCGGATAGCCTGAAAGTTACCGAAAAGACAAATGCATCAGTCCTGGTTGCCTAGATTGTATTTTGTTAGACTTGCATGCCAAAACTAATTCTCTCGCCTACTATTGTTTCCTCTTTAGACGTTTGGCTCAAATCCGAGTAACAGTTTACCTTCTCTAACAAACACAAAAAGTATGTTTATGTACTAAAACAGGTTGATAAATAACTATTTGAGATGATCTTCACCTCTGCTTGGTTCGAATAAGCTTTGCGCAAGCAATCGCTCCCAAAGCTATCGAAGATTATCAAAAGCTTAAGAAAGATTTTCAGTTGACTCCAACAAAGAAACTTGTCCATAAGAATTTTTCAGTCAGACGAAGTATCTCATTAGACTCGACTGCACGCATTCATACAAAAACGGACAGGTAACTGCTATAATCACTGTTATATTGTGGGAGATATTGTTGTGACTAATGGGTCATTAGAAAGTGGATCCATTAATATGCCTTTGCATGCAAGCACAGTACCGATAAACCCTCGTACTGATAATAAACATTGGATGCCAAAATTGAATTTATTTGCAAGGCTTTGTTGGACTTGCTTCTAACATTTGCACATACCTGGAAACCTTCTGGAGAAAGGCATGCTAGTCCACCGGCCTGAGCTATACTGGATGCCCCATTGAAGCAGGTGCACACAATGCGATTGAAGTCATGTATGACAGGAAATCCACCTGAAAACAAGAGTTCTTCGGGGACTACCGTCCAACCAAGACGAACTCCCGTGAACCCAGCAAATTTGGAGAACGATGAAATTTCAATTGCAACCTGAGGAAACGTTCTTTTCCTTCTCAGTTTAAAGACAAAGGACAGGTTGAAAAATATATAAACTGATGTACCATGCTTCATGAAGCAAATTAACAAACTATATATAGTCTGAGCCATCTCAGAGATCCCAAGAGAATGAATTCAAAGTTCATTTTTCCATGCAGGTATCTCACATTTTTATGTCCGGAAAACCGGTGGATTTAATCGAGAACCATGAAATTTATGTTCTCATGAACCCCATCGAACAATTACACTATTGAAAATGCAAATCCTTGTTAAAATGGTAGAATTTTATCAAGTCTAATTAACCGCAAAATGAAGGAATTATTCTCCAAAGGTTTTCACATTTTCAATATACCATTCCTAAATACCTAATCATTAGCCAAAGCCTTGTAACAGTAGTCCAACAAAAGTTAACCAGTCTCTAGGACTGAAGAGTAAGACTGAAGTAGGTTGTTTTTTCTTAGTTCGATGACATGTCAGCAATGTACCTCTTTGGATCCAGGAATTTCAAAGATTGATTTAGGACTGCCATCAGAAATATAGGTTGCATAAGCAGAGTCAAAAATAATAATTGATCCGTTATCCCTTGCAAAGTCTACAAGCTGCTGTAATTGCTTCCTCGTCGCTGCATGACCTGTAGGATTATTTGGCGAACAAAAGAAGATGATATCCGTTCTTGGAGTGATTGTTAAATCAGGGAAGAAATTATTTTCAGGGCTGAGCTGCATGTACTCGATTTTCTGATACTTCCCAGTTTTGTCTTGAAAATCACCAGCCTGACCGATAATGACACTTGAATCTATATAAGCCTGTTACAAATTACATTTTCCATATTGAATATTACATCTCTGATACAAGGATCCATCATAAATTATTTCCTTTTATATCACATTAAAAGCTTACATTAGTTTCAAGAAGCTAAAGGAAGAAAATGGCATAGACAAAACAAAAAGTACAATGATGACAGGCATAACTAGATTATGTTAAGTTCACCAGTTCAGCTCCTGTCAGGCCTAATCTCTAGGTAAAATACTAATTATTTTCCATAAAATGACTTAGTTTCACGTGTAGTGATAGTTTCACATGTAGTGATATTTTTGTATTTGCAAATGCAAGTGCCAACATTTATATAAAACATTTTCTAAGTTATGTGCAAAAAAGCATGAAATGGAATAATTATGGTTGTTCATTACTAAAATTGTATCTGATCCAGCTTTCTTGAATATATTCTTTGCTATTAGACAAGCAACATGCAGTCAAATATAATAATTAATAATAAGTTGAACAGAGAGAAGAATTATAATATCACCGGAAAAGATGGATCTTGCACAGCTATTGTCACTTTTGAACCCAGAAGCAGCTGCAAATATTGAAAGAGACAAGTGCTTAGTACTTTCAACACAATAAATCAACAGTTTACCTCGGTTGTAAAATTACTTGCATAAGATGCTGGCTAAAGTATATCTCCGAAAAAGAAATAAAGAAGATGCTGCTAAATGAACAAATAGGAAAGCACAAAAGGGAAGTCACCTGGAGGCGGGAAATGTCACACTGGGAACCATCTGATACAAAAATTTCTGCGTCCTTTATGGCGACATCTTTGTAGAATGTTTCTGCAATTGCTTTCCTCAATGCCTGTTATTTGTACAAAGTTAATATTCGAAAACTTCACCTGATAACAATTGCATAAAAAAGCATTCCTACTAAAACACAATAAGATAAACAGAAACAGCGCAAAATTACAATTCAGATAAGAAGGTATTTCAGTATATTAGAGCAGTGTAACCTTTAAACTTGCACATGTAAATATCGTTATGTTTCAAAACTGTATACTGGAAGAAGGACAAGTAAATGATTCCACTGAATTTCCAGCTAGTTAATACGTAAAGAGAAAATCGTACTATTGTTGAACACTTGGCATGATTTGGCTATAAAGAAACAGAAAGGTCCAAGAATCATAACTAATGGCAGTAACAGATATGTTAACCTCAAGAAATGAAGAAACGAACCCAATAATCAGCTAACAAACAAGTCTTCTTTACAATAAACCGGTGCAAATGAAACAAAGACCGAATACCTGATTCCCTTGCTCAGCTCCATATCCTCTATAACCTTCAGCAGTTGAAAGGGAATGTGCATACTGCAAAAAAAAACATTGAAGTGAAATATTCATCTCTCAATAAATGAAGTCCCTTTCTCACATCTCAAGTGCAGTCATTGGATCATTTAAGATAGCTCCAAAAGGCATAAAATTGATTATAGGTGCTTCACTGTATGTTTTCAGCACCAAGGTGTGCACCAAGACAACACTGGCCTTAGGTAAAAAACACTTTCTGCAAGCAGTAAGACAGGTGTCTAATCCCATGAACTCCTTGTTTAGGAACATCTCTCTTAGGTATTAAAGCTTAAACTTGGGACAGAATGATGACTACCAAAACATATTGGCGGGTTCAAAAGAAATCACGAGTCTTTGAACAAGTTTAGTTGCATTGGGGTGAACCCTGAATTAGTCTGCTATCAACTAGCTGGCCCTCAAGCTTAACAGCCTTATGTTTGAAAATTCTAAAAGAAGATAATGTTAACATAAGCCAGTTCCATTGAGATCCTTAATTCGGATTCTTAACCTAAAAGGCTATAGCAACAGAAATTAAAACAGACTGGAATTGACCAAGACTTACGTTAGCCATGCTAAGGCTGATTTGCTCAGGAATGGGCTCTGTGGTGTCACCAATACCAAGGCTAATCACTTTTGCATTTGGATACTTTTCCAGGTGCTGCAGCTCCCGCTTTGAAATCTGGTTAGAATCCAATTAGAATCAATAGAATCAGAAAATGGCCAAATGTTGGGTCACCTAGGACGCCCAAGAGAAACCCAAGCAGTGGTAGTTTTAGAATATGTAAAGAGCCGGGTAGACTGGATGAAACCAAGGACAAGCTGAAAAGGCAACAATTTCTTGCGCTTCAAGAATCAATTTGATCATTAAAAAAAGGAAAAAACTATAGTTTCAGCTTTAAAAAAATCAATGGTGCGAGAATCAGTGTCCATAACCAGTGACAAAAGAAGGGCTACAAGTGTTCTCCACTCTTATTATACTGAAGTGCTACTGTGAAGCTAAAACTTTAAACTTGTAAGAATAGATGATTTAATTCCTAGAAAAGTAATAGTAATATGAGATTTTAACAATAACCTCAGGAAACAAATAGTTATTCTGCAGCTTTTCCAAGTTTACATTGCGGGGTACATTTGTGCAACGACCTGTGATCAGAAATATTAATCAGTTAATGCCAATTTGTGGCCAAAGAAACCTTATATGAAAATGAAAATGATAAACAAAAAATTGATATAAACAAATGCAATACATGGCACATACCATTTCCCTGCTTAAGTCTCAAACTGTATGCCAGTCAACAAACAATGGCACAAATTAGACAGTGTAATCCATAAAATAATAACAGGAGATGTAAGAAACTTTTCTCTATATTACAAGAACATATACCTGGCCAGGACCATCTTAGGCGGCAAGGAAATTCCAAAGGCCATAAAACTGCAAACTGATAAGTTGTACATTTTGGTTTTGGATATTTAGCAAAAACACAAGCTCGTCTAACCTTCTTGCTTCGGAGTGGGATGTGCTGTAAGAATGCAACCCATCCGCTTCGACAAATATATAGACCGATGCCACAGTCAAATATCAAGGAAGTGACTCATGCAGAAGTTAATGCTTGGAAGAGGATGCGTGTGAAGTTGACCATTTCACACCAGATGTCAATTTTCATAGGTTTTCATTTGTTGGTAGTATTGGTTGGACTAGTGCATGCATTGATCTTTAATAGTAATATCTATAACAAAAAGAGATAGGTCTATTTTCCACACCTTCACCTAATTTCTTCCTTTATTTCGTTTTCCGCATTTGCGTGATGCTCTTTAATTCTATAATACAAGGAAAATGGTTCAATTTTTTACTTCAACGTGGCATTTGCAATCCTTAAAAGTGTTACAATATCTTTTGAAAGGGAAAGAAAACTTTACTAGTTTACACGAAACATTTTGAAAAGATCATTAATTCATGTTTGTCAATGAAAACTATCCGATTTCATAACTTGTCAGTTGTCAATCAAGTTGCGCTAGCTTACACAAGATGTCCATATGTGTGGCCTAGTCACAAGTTTTTTTCCCATGCAGAGAAAGGTCAATCAACCCCTAGAAGCAACCCATAGTATATGCACATTTTGGTTGCGTATGTTGTACAAAGACAAGCTCTTCTAATCTTCTTGCTTGAACATTAGAAGAGTAAAAACAAACATTGTTACCCATCTTTATTGACAAATGTGTAGGATCATACTGCAGTCAATCAACGATGTAAAACTTAACATTTGAGGATATATTTAACCCTCAGCCTAGATTTATGGATATCAAGGTGATGACCTTCAGAAGTCAGACCTGGGAAGAATAGACATCTTAAGTGATCCTATTCAAACCAGATGTAGATGTTCAGAGCGTTCGTTTGATATTAGTTATTAGACTACAGCATGCATTAATATTTCAATAGAAATTCAGCAAAGAATGGCATGCCTATTTTCACAGTTTCACCTAATTTCCTCCTTTATTCCTTTTTCCTCATTTCCATGATGCTCTTGTCTTTTATCACACAAGGAAAATGGATCCAAACTTTTCCTCAATTTTTTGGATTTGAAATAATTTGAAGTGTCACCATCTCTTTTGAAAGGGAAAACAAAGTGGCTAACTCAAAATTTCTAAAAAGAACATACATAATCTTTTTTTTAATAAGAGCTTTCTTTTCACTGATTGTCACTCAAAAACTTAGAATCTACAGAGTCTTGTGCATGATGCACTCACACTTTAGTTTCAAAATAATTCCTACAAGTCCTGCTTCCACTCACTTCATAAAAGCTGCCAATAGAATCTACCTTTACATGCAACCATTGCTTAATAATTATAGACCTTTAGGAGTTGATTACCTTGCTAGATGTTGGAAAAACTACATTGTCACTTGAATATTAAAATATAAATGTTGCATAACCTAGAAGCTTACTACGGGGATTGACTCCATAACCGATAATAGTTCTTTATCCTCTTTGATAAGTAAGGCGATCTTTCCCTCCGTCATGTCTTGCATCACGTAAATGCATGCACAATAGGAAAATCTTGACCAGAAAGTTTATTTTCATTAAATTAAAACCACATATCTGCCCCAACTATTTCCTTTGGTGGAAGTATTCTACCAGTCTACATGACGATCCACAAAGTTCCAAAACACATGTGGAAAAATTCCAGTCTAAATTCCATAGGCTCTCCAAAAGCTTTAGAAAAACAATTTCCAAAAAGATCATCCTAGCATTCCACAACCAAAACTCCAAGAAACTTCAAACCAACCAACCAGAAAATGCCACAAAACAAAGACTATTGACTAAAATTGTCAACATATTCAAATGCAATCTGATTCTACCCAAATTATTGTGGGAAAGCCCATTTTGACTTTCATAAACATGATGATCAACCCGATAATATTTATTATTTATATCAAAGCTTGCATAATAAATAAATTATATCGAATACACATATCCATCAACAGAATTTCCTGGAAGCAAAATAACTAAGCACCTACCCTTCAACCCTAAAAAATTAATGCAGATATGTGATCTTTCAGAAGTAATATTTATGAAACAGAATAGTCATACACATTGAAGAATAATGAATTAGTAATTGACAGAAACCAGAATCTGAAACGTGGAAAATAACAAATCAATGAAAACCAACAAGAACCAAGTAGCCTTATATTTTATTTTAAATTATCATTTGAATCTAAGCAATTTCTAAACCGAGAAATTGGAATAAAACAAAATACTAAAAACACTAGATACGAACAAAAACGAGGGAATATGGAAAACAACAGAGCACCTAACAATGTACAAAACACACACAAAAAATGAAGAAAAAAATTGACAAAAGCTGAAGATTGGAACATTTCACCGGTGTTTTCTTTCTCCCAGGTTTTGCCAGTCCCAGGAATGCTTTGTCAGCATCCTCCATTTGCGAACCACAAACGATCTTCCATTGTAATCTAAAGTGGTAAAGCTGTTTATCAACACTCGCGGCAAAACCCAAGGATTTTGAAATTTCCGAACCGGGTTCCGGGGAAAAGATGAGTTGGAAACCGACCGACTGTAAATATACATTCTTTTTAAGGAAAATTGTTTGGAATAAACTTTAGTTACATAAATTTATTTATTTTTAATATTTTAATTTTCTAAATAAAAAATTATAAACAAATTATCAAGTACTTTTAAAATAATATGATTTTTATTAAAAAAACATTTTTTTCAAAAAATTTCAAGATTTTTTAGTTTTTGTTAATATTTCTGAGGACCCGGGTTCAAGCACCATATATGTTAAGGGTGTGAGTGCTCAATGTTGAAAGGTTAAGAGTTATCTTTGAACATATATTGTCTTATACTTACCCCAGATTAATAAAAAAAAGTGGGGTGAGTAAAATTTATCTCGACTTAAAAAATATTTTTTACTTGATTCAACGTTTAAAATTTAGTATGATTCGTAATTTTATAAATTCAATTCGACTTTAAAAAGTTTTAAATAAAATTGAGTTACAAATAACTCTAATTTTTTATTAATATATGATTACTTTTCAAGTTCGAGTTGAATAACTCAACTCTGTATGATATAAGTATATCACATATAAAAAATATGAATATATACATATAGTATATGATTATAGAAAATCATTTAAATTATAATCAATTAGTATCATCATATTATAAATATTTTTAACTAAATTTAAATAAAAACTCAAATAACTTGAATTGATTTAAAATTCATAAATTTGAGTTATAAGATAAAACTTCTAAACGTATTTAATTCAAAAAACTTTTACCCAACTCGATTTGAATCGTCAGTGAATCAATCGGAAAAAAGGAAGAGAGTAATTTAAAAAAAAACTTCTAAATGTTTACTTTTTGTTCAATGGTTTTAATTATTGGCAATTTTATTCGGTTAAAATTGGATTCTATTAAATAAACTATTTTTTATTAAGTAATTATTTTGAATCATTATTAAATAAATAAAATTATATTTTAACTATTTTGATTTTAGTCAAAAATATAACTTATCATTAGTAGATATTGACCGATCGTCGATGACGCTCACAATAGTTAAAACAACTATTAATTGGTGTTGATTGATTTTTTTTTCAAATAGGTATGTGAAACTCCTGTACTTTTAAAAAGATTAATATAGTCTTCGTATTATTTTTGTCTCAGTGTGACCTTTCAACTCAAAAAAAGAATTTAATGTACCTTATTGACCAACGTTTTTCATCAATAACCAACATTAATGTAAGTCTTTCGTCATTAGAATGCTCTAAGTCAATCATAAATTTATATAAAAATCATCTATATGATTTTTTTCTTTCCCTTTCAATAACTGCTCATGCAATCGAAAATTGATTATTTCTATCTCTACCAACACCCACACCCATAAATAGTATTCCTTTCTTAACATATTTAAAAAAATCATCTACATCAACAATAACTAACAGAATTGTTGGTCAATTACGAAAAACGTTAAATAAAAGGTCACATTGAATATTTTAATTGAAATACACGTTAAGAGAAAAATAATACGAAAATTACATTAATATTTTTTTAAACATACAAAGATTTCAAGTACGCTTTTGTCTTTTTTTTATGTCTTGGTTTTTTTAAAGTACTGATTGATTGTTGACCGTAAAACATTGGGTGGTAAATGGATTTTTACTGCATTTATTCATTGTATAACAGTCTTGGCTAACGTTTCGGTACACCAAAATAACATAGGGTGGTCTTTTACCCTTTTGGACAGCACAACTAATAATGTTTTCTCCACTCAGTTGGCAAGGCAATCCTATAAAGTTTACAACTCCGTACAACATGTAAATATAAATTACAACAGCATCAATGAGAGCCAAAAAGAAGGGAACAAAAAAGGAACTATATGCACAAATGTGAACAACGGACAGTCTAAAATAGCAAGACAAGGTGTTGTAGAAAGACCCTTGTAATGTATTTTTGCGGCAGTGAGTCGGAGCGGGTCATCTTGGACCGGATAATTCGTCTGGAGGGACGTGAGATGTGGAGTCTGCAATGATCCAATTCCCGTTGGGTTGGTGGTGGTTGAAGTGGTGGGCATGGTTGAACTCCTGGCGGACAATTTCGTCTTTCTGCCACTCTTCCCATCTTTCAGCCAAGCCGTCGCCTTCCAGCATCCTCACCACTTCAGCCATCTTAGGTCGTTCCATTGGGGTGCTTTGAGTGCACAACAGAGCCACCTGGATTAGCTTCTCCACTTCTTCGTCTACATAATTACCACTGAGATCCGAATCCACCAGTGTTTCCAACTTCCTGTCTCTCAGAAGACCTTTCACCTGAAATTTCAGCATTGCTAGCATGTTCACAGATTGCAGGCATAGGTACCTGAATGAAGAGTCTAAGCAACACAGATTGCAGTCAACAAAGACAACACCATTCCAAAACATGCTTTCTTAATGCGGCCTTGTTCGAAATCAAAGCTCATTTAAAATGGTGGCAATTTTGAAACATGCATTCCCTTACACAAAACTAATGAACAGAAAGGATAAATGAACTCTTCCAATCTGCTAACAACACAAAAATGAAAAAAGATCGTATCTTTTTCAAGTGTGTATAATTTTTTCAAGTCTGCATACAACTCCAATTCGGCCTTGGAGGCAGAGAACTTGAATTTGGATTTTGCACAGTTAACAACATCTCAATGCGCATATTTGGAGGAGGAATTTTCGGAACAAGAAATATGGCAAGCAATTTCTTCTTCGGATAGTACTAAAGCTCCTGGACCGGATGGTTTTACCATGGGTTTTTACAAGAAATACTGGAAAATTCTTAAGAATCAGATCATGGAGTTTTTCTCAGATTTCTATAAAGGAAAGAAGTGGGTTCATGGAGTTAATCATGCATTTATTACCTTGATTCCTAAGAAAGGTAATCCTGAGTGTATTGAAGACTATAGACCTATTAGTCTTGTGGGCAGCCTGTACAAAATTCTGTCAAAAGTTCTTTCCAAGAGACTAATATCGTGTATCGATGATATTATTAGTCTGTCACAGTTTGCTTTTATTCCGGGAAGGCAATTGTTAGATTGTGCATGTTTGGCTAACGAAGGTATTGATTCTTGGAGGAAGCAAGAACTTAAAGGGGTTGTATTTAAAGTGGATTTTAGCAGAGCCTACGACACTGTGAAGTGGCAGATTCTGCAAAAGTTAATGATAAAGATGGGATTCGGCGAGAGGTGATGTTCTTGGATCAAACAGTGCATTTCAATGGCTTCTATCTCGGTTCTAGTGAATGGTTCTCCTATTGAAGAGTTCCCTATTGCTAAAGGTTTGAGGCAAGGTTGCAGCCTTTCTCCTCTTTTGTTTAACATGGTTGGGGAATTACTACATTTGATGCTGTCGAAAGTAGTGGACTTGGGTCTTTTTCAGGGGTTTTCTTTTGGAAACAGTCAAAACTCTTTTACTTTGTCTCACCTGTAGTTTGAAGATGATTTAATTATTTTTTGTCGAGATTCAATTACTCAGATACAGAATGTTAGAAGAGTTTTGAGGATTTTCGGTTTATTGACGGGGCTCTAACTGAATTTAGCAAAAAGCAAGCTGTATGGGATTAATGTGGAGAGTGACATCCTTGATGTTTGGGCTAGGGATATTGGCTGCTCTGTTGATTCATTCCCGACTGTTTACTTAGGTCTACCTTTAGGGGAGAAAAAGAACTCGGCAAAGCTTTGGGAACCGGCCATTGAAAATTTCAGCAAGAAATTGGCAAGTTGGAAAGCTAATTCTCTATCTATGGTCGGTAGGCTAGTACTTATTAACTCGGTTTTATCTTCCCTACCTATTTTTTACCTATCCATTTTTAAGATGCCTTCTACTATTTCTCACCGGTTAAATTCCATGATGTCGATTTTTTTATGGGTGGAGGGGATGGAAAGAAGAAAATTCACTGGGTGAGTTGGGATAAAATTTGCAAACCGTTGAGTGGTGGTGGTTTAGGCGTTGTTGATTTGAATGTTTCAAACCGAGCTTTGTTGGGTAAGTGGATTTGGAAATTTGCAAATGACAAAAATTCGATGTTGAAGAGATTCTTATGTTGTAAACACAATGTCAGCTGTCAGACCATGGATATTAACAAGGTTATTTCTCAAAATGACTCTTGGATGTGGAGGGGAATTGTTAATAACTTCATGAAGGATGATACCATCGGAGGTTGTCTTAGATCTCATGCAAAGATACAAATTGGGAATGGGAAATCTATATCCTTTTGGTGTGATACATGGCTTGGGGAGTTTCCTTTGAAATTTCTTTTTCCAAGAATTTTTGCCCTTTCTACTAATAAAACGGGTAATGTTGCAGACTTTGGGAGTTTTGATTCAACCAGATGGGAATGGTGTGTGAAGACTAGGAGGAATCTATGTGATTGGGAGGTGGAGCAGCTGGTAGAGCTGTTGGATAGGCTGAAAAATGTTAAACTTATTGAGTCATTGGATGATGGGTTGTTGTGGAATGGGTTGAATGTGGGGTTGTTTTCTGTTAAAGCTTGCAGGAAAGCTCTTTATAATTTTAATGATGAATCTTTATTTTGGAGTAACTGTGTATGGTCGGGCTTAGTTCCTCCTAGAGTAGAATCCTTCATTTGGCAATTGTCCCATCAAAAAGTTGCTGTTAGAGTTGAATTGTTCAGAAGAGGGGTTCCTTTAGGGGAGAACATTCTTTGTCCACTTTGTAACCTGCAGGATGAATCAATCCATCATCTTTTCATTTCATGTCGAGTTTCGTGGGAACTTTGGTATAAGATTATAGGGTACTGGGGTTTTCGGTTAGTTTTACCGCCAGACCCTCCTTCGCTGCTTAGTTCTTGGGCTGATGTGAATCCTAAATCTGCTATGTGGAAGTTTATTCCGGGGGCAGTCTTGTGGTCAATATGGAAGATTAGAAATGAGATCATTTTTGAGGAAAAGAAGTTGGATAGATTATCATTGTTTTTCACTATGCGGTTAAGGTTAGCCAAATGGTATTTGGCAAAATATCCACTTATCCCTATTCAAGTGGATTCTTTAATTGCTGACCTTTCTTTGGCTGATAATCTAACAGAGTTCATAGGCATGAATAGGAAGGCAATTTGTTGGAGTCCTCCTCCAGTGGATTTTTTTAAGTTGAACGTGGATGGGGCTGTTAGTACGGTTGGTATGTATGCTGGAATAGGGGGTATTCTCAGAGATTGGAATCGGGATATTCTTTTTTCGTTTTCAGAAAGTGTCGGTCCTTCTCCTACTATCCTAGCAGAGCTGAAGGCTATCAAAAAAGGAATTGACCTATTTGTTTCATCACAATGGGCTTAGAAGGGCAGACTAATTATTGAAAGCGATTCAAAGATAGCAGTGGATTGGATTAAAGACCAAGCTCTTGCACCTGCTTTTCTGTCAAACTTTGTCAAGGAAATTGTGTCTATTATTTCTGCTATTCAGGCTCTTGTTAGGTGGATTCCTAGATGGTGTAACTGTGAGGCCGATAAGTTAGCAAAGGAAGGAAATGGGTAATTTTTGTCCTTGCTTAGGCAGTTGTGTAAGCCTTAAGAGCAAAGTACCCTCAGGACTGTCTTTAAGTTTTATGTAGTTTGCAAGATTGTTTTTAAGCCTTATGTATCTGGTTTATTATCAATAAATTGATGCACTTTTTTCCTCCTTCCGCTAGTTGGTTCTACCTTAGGGCAGAGGACCACTATGAGGGAGGTTTTTAATGAGGCATCCTATTCCTATCAAAAAAAAAAAAAAAGATCGTATCTCCCATATCAAAACATTTTAACAACTATTTCCATATTTTCTCTTTTTCCGCCTTCATCTTGCGGGGAAAATACCGTCAGGTTTCAACTATTTCTATTTTTCTGCTTCTGCATTTTTACCTTGCAAAATAACTTCCGTTAAGCTTCGCTATTATAATCTTAGTGTATTGCTTGTGGCCAACCAAGTGAAGCAAGCATATAATAATTCCAGCAATAAACAAGAACAGCAGAAGTCAAACTTAGAATACAAACATAATGGGAAGACAGTACATACCCAATCAAGCAACATGACATCATCATCATTTGCAAGCCGTGCAAGATCGAAAGCCCTCTGTCCTGTAATGAGCTCAAGAAGCATAACACCATACCCGAAAACATCAGTTTTCTCTGACGATTTTCCAGTTGATAGGTATTCGGGAGCTATATGACCAATTGTACCACGAACGGCGGTTGTAACATGAGTATCTTTGTAGTCCATCAGTTTGGCCAGCCCAAAGTCTCCGACAACTGCTTCAAATTCCTCATCTAACAATATATTTGCAGCCTTCACATCACGGTGGATAATCTTAGGGTCACAATGATCATGCAAATATGCAAGCCCCCTTGCAGAACCAAGAGCAATTCTTTTCCTTATAGCCCAATCAAGTGCTGGTTGAGACTCGGAACGCTCTAGGGAACATAAAAACAGATTAATAGATAGCCCGTTCTAACAAGAGGAGTTAACAAAGTATTTGGTTTCTCCATGAATTTATCTAAATTCCACTTGGATTTAAACACAAACAGCATTTACCAAAAGTGTCACTTTATCAAATGGAAGTTAAAACAGTTTAAAACAAGATTACAAGATATGATGGTATTTTAAATTTCTTATCCAAGTGAAGAAGCAATAAAGGAGAAACTGGCAATTGAAGCTCTCACAAGCTGGAGATCGTTCATTATCAAGATTAAGGTTGAAGGTAGTGAAGATTTCTTTCCTGAGTTAGCAGATGTGGTTGAAGAAGATGTGTCAGTGGATCCTTGGGAGGAGAATTCGTCGGACTGGAGCAAAGGGGATGTTCAGGAAGGGCAGGTGGGGCAGTTGGACAAACAGCCGGTGTCAGACGCTCAGAACAAGGTAGATGCATGGGTTCGGGGTTCTCAACAAGGTGGTAGCACAGACATCGATGGGAGTTTGAAAAAAACGGGATCAAAAAATATTTTTAATGTTGACTTGTGTAGGGAGGAGACAGCAGCAGGTGTTGTCCCCATCCAGCAGATTGTGTCGAAAGTTTTTAATGAAGGGAGAGAAAATGGGAAGAGTATGGGAGGTGTCACTTCGAGGCATGATGAGGTTGACAGGAAAATGGGCTTAATTGTAGCTTGGATAGGCTGGAGGTAAGTGGGCCTGATCAAGGGAGCTTAAGACCAAATAGAGAATGCTATTTGTCTGCAGAAGAGAAGAATGTTGAACAGGCTGCAATAGGCTTTCCAAATGGGCCTGTATCTCTGGCCCAACATCGATATTCTGGTAAGAGTGCATCGGTTAGTAAAGCAGAGAGAGGTTTTTATAACAATGTTTATTCAAGATCTAGGAGGTGGAGAGTTAAGAGTTGCATAGGTAGAGGGTCAAATTATTTTAATTCAAATGAGGCAGAGGGAGTGGCAAAGGCTTTGGAATGTTGGAATGTTAGCAAATTGTTGGGTGTTAAATTTAGAGGAGGTGAGAAAGCATTCATGAACAAAGTGGTTCCTTTGGTTAAGGAGAGAGATTTGCAAGGGGGAAGATAATTTGAATAGGCTTACAAGGTTATGGTACGATGATGATGGTTGAGTGGTCGAAAATTTCTTGGAATGTTAGGGGTTTGGGTAGGAGGGTTAAAGCTCGAGCTGTGAGGAGGTTTGTTGATGAGAAGAAACCTATAATTTTATTTTTACAAGAATCAAAAGTGGAAGGTGTGAGTCATACGTTAGTGAGGAAAATGGGAGGGAAAATTTTGACTGGTTTGGCAGTAGCTTCTGCTGGTGGATTAATTACTATGTGGAATGAGAAGGAGTTTGTTGTGAAGGAAGAGGTTATTCATAGGAGATTTGTGGCAATAAAGGGGATTATGGAAGATTTATCAGGGACTTGTTGATTCAGAAATGTGTATGGTCCGAGAGTGGATTCAGAAAAGAAGCTATTTTTTGGGGAGTTATTATCCTTTTTGGAGAATGTAGATTGTCTAGTGTGTTTAGGAGGGGACTTCAATGCTGTTTCATCACAGGAAGAGAAGGTTGGAGGTGCTGTGAATTCGGTTTCAATGAATGTTTTCAGAGACTTTGTGAGTAAAGCTAATTTGGTAGATTTGCCTTTGTCTGGAGGTCGATTAACATGGTGTAACAATAGGGAAGCTCCAACTTATGTGAGATTGGATCGTTTCCTAGTTGATCAGAGATTTTTATCATTATTTCCCGAGGTAAGCCAAAGCCTGCAAGCAAGGTCTGTTTCTGATCATGATATGATTTTGCTGGAAAATAGGGGTTGGAATTGGGGTCCTAAACCGTTCAGGATGTTTAACTATGTCATGGAGGAGGATGGGTTTGGCGAGATGATGGAGGAGGAATTGGTTAAACTATGTAAAGTAGAAAAGAGAAAACCCATCTCCAGTGTGTTAAATGGGGTGAAGGAAGCAGTAAAGAGATGGTCTAGGAAGGGTTACCTAGAGCTTCCAGGAAAATTAGTAGGTTGGAGAAAGAAATTCAAGAGATGGAATTAGATATGCAACAAGGCCTTCCCATGGTGTCAATGAAGTCATTAGTGGAAGAAAAAGAAAGAATTATGGACCTTTATAAGAAAGAAGAATTGATTTGGTTACAGAAGTCAAGATTGAAGTGGAGTTTGGAAGGGGACAAGAACACAAGATTCTTTCATCAAAGTGCTGGAGGTAGAGGAAGGAGAAACTGTTAAATCCCTCAAAGTGGATAATGAAGTCACTTTTGATCCTAGCTTAATTAAAGCTTCGGTGGTGGAGTTCTTTAAAAGACTGTTTAACTAATAAAATACATTGGAGGTTGAGGAATTGGATTTGGAATTTTTAAAACTTTCGAAAGAACAAAGTATGGGATCCGAGTTCTATGATGATTGGGAATACTTGGACAGCACGTGGTTCTTGGATTTGGAGAGGAGTTGTTAAGAACTTCTTTTCTGGTGATGAATTTGGGGATTGTCTTAGGAAAAATATGTGTTTGAGAGCTGGAAATGGAGAATCCGTGGAGCTTTGGCATGATGTAGGGACTGGTTCCTCTTAAAGATTGGTTCCCGAGGCTTTTTGCTCTTTCGAACAATAAGGGGGGTGAAGTTGCAGAGTTCAGGGTGAATAATGCTACGAGATGGGTGTGGGATATTCAAGTGAGAAGGAACTTGGTGGATTGGGAAGTTGAGCAATGGTTACAACTCATTTCTCTGTTGAATAATACCACTTTGTCATTATTAGAGGAATACTGCTGGATATGGTTAGGGAAATGTAGAGGGTTGTTTTTCTGCTAAATCATGCATCAAAAAATTTTACACTATGATGACGGCATGATAATGACGGGAAGGATGGTACTTGGGAAAGACATGTATGGGCAGAAGTAGCACCACCCGTGTGGAAACTTTTGTTTGGCAAGTTGCACATAAGAGAGTGGCGGTTAAGGAAGAACTGTTAAAGAGAGGAGTGGCTGGGATTAATGACCCCTTATGCCAGATGTGTGGGAAGTTTGTGGAGTCGGTTTCACATCTTTTTTTGCACTGTGAGGTGGTATGGGGTTTGTGGTCTAGATTTTTTAATTATTGGAATGTTTCTTTTGTGGTTCCTAAGAATTTGATTGATTTCATCATTTTGTCGGATGACCTAGTTCCGAGCTCCATTATTTGGAGATTCATTCCAAGGGCGGTGTTGTGGTCGGTTTGGAAATGCAGGAATGAGATAATTTTCCAGAAAAGGAAGGTGGATATTATCTGTTATTCTTTCTTGTTCGATTTAGAATTGCTTCTTGGTTTGGGGCTAGATTTAAGGATGTTCATATTCCTTTTGACTCCTTAGCGGGGGATATAAAATTAGCAGATGTAGTGGGAAGACAGAAAAAGGGGTGTTCTCCTTCATCTTGGTGGGTACCTCCTCCGAATGGGTTCATAAAACTTAATGTAGATGGTGCGATGGTTAAGGGATGGGATAAAGGAGGAATAGGTGGACTAATTAGGGATAACAGAGGTGTGCTGCTTGGTTCGTTTTCATAGAAGGTTTGTGGCGGTCCTCCTATACTTGCAGAGCTATTGGCGATCAAAAGAGGTTTGCTTCTTATTGAAGAAGTAAGATCTATTCCCAGTCAAAGGATTATTCTTGAAGCGGATTCTAGTAGTGCATTGAAGTGGATTAAAAATCCGGATTTATGTACCCCTTTGTTTCAGTCCTTGGTGAGAGATATAGCTTCTCGTGTGGAAGGACAGAGTATTATTACAAGGCATATTCTGAGAGCTGCTAATTGGGAAGCGGATGAGTTAGCTAAAGTTGGTATAGGTTGATTAATAGGTTATGTGTTTGTGTTGTTAAGGTGTTGTGTTTTGTTTGTATTTCTGAAGGGTGTTTTGGTTTCAGTGTTATGTAATCAGTGTTATGTTGTAACAGTAAGTGGTTAGGGACTGGCTGTGTATTATTGTTCAGATTAATAAAATTCATAGTCACTCTTTTCCTCCTTCCTATGTCCTTCATGTTACTAATGTAACATGTAGTGTATGAAGGGGTTTTTTAATGAGGCCTAATCTTCTATCAAAAAAAAAAGCTCTCACAAGCTTATAAAATTGACATTGGGAAAAATTGGTAATCAAAAACAACATAGATATAAGATAAGTAACATGTATAATAGAGACGGCATTGGAGAAACAGGAAGGACAAAACTAAAGATATAAAAAGGAGAAAACAGAATGTACCTCTTAAACAAGATGCAACACTACCATTAACCATAAAGGGATAGACTAGCAGTCGTTCTGTAGGGGTCATACAAAAGCCACGGAGTCGTAGTAAATTCCTATGGACAGCCATACTTATCATTTCTACCTCTGTTTGGAACTGCAACTCTCCACCTTGAGTACGCTCCTCTTTCAATCTTTTTACTGCCACTAGAGAACCATCAGCTAAGCGACCTTTATAAACTTTACCAAAACCTCCTCTACCCAGGATGTTTCTGTTGCTAAAATTATCAGTTGCAACTTGCAGTTCTCGCAAAGAAAACCTTTTAAGTTGTCCCAAATGAACTTCTGGGTCCTCCTCAGCTAAAAACCAAAAAAGGTGAATTCATACACAACGAAATAATATTAAGTAAAACTATATCTTGAAAAATCACTAACCAGGTACATCAAAGAAATGATCTTGTGGTGTCCTCTTTCGCCACAAAGCAAGTACAATTGCAGGAACTGCAAACAGCAGGGCAGCGCCAGCAGCAACTCCTCCAGCAATAGCACCAGTGGAACTAATACCTGCCGGTATGAATAATACACAAACACAAGTCAGTACACCTATATCAAGAATATATAGTTAATTAACATTTTCAGCCAGTGCCAACACCGATTGAGCAGGCAACATTTAAACCGGGTGAACTTATGGGCTAAGGAACCCAAAACCATTATTGAGTCCCAGGGTTTCAAATCACGGTCGCGGTCGCGTTTTCGGTCATTTCCAGTTTAGTGTGATTGTGGCCGTCGCAGGCGCTATTGCGGGTGTAGTGGGTAACTCGGACGGAAGCAAAACCGCTATATCGCGGACGAAATCGCGGTCGCAGAACGTTTTTTGAAACCCTGTTGAGTCCTTTCATTATCAGATAAAAATTTGAACTTAAAAGCACCTTCTTAAAAAAGACTCGGACGTAAGAAAGTTCAGGAATAGCAATACACTCAGTCTACAACAATTTTGTATGCTACCAAGATGTGGTAACACGAAAACGGTTGTGAATGCAACAATGCAAAGGATATCTCAAGAAAAATAATAAATAATATGAGGAAGCCCCAAATTTAGGCACATTTTCAGATTTGTCAGCAGTGAAAATAAATAATAAATTACAATAAAATCGAGAACAAACCTGATTGAGCTGGAGGTGTCGGTGGGATAGGAGGTGGTGGAGCAGGTGGAGGATTATTGAGTTGATTATTAGCAAAACTGTGAAACAGAAAAAGATGCAGCAAATCAAGAGGCTGGCATGGCAATTTTAAATATGAAAAATGGAACAAGCAGGTCGTGTGCCAGGAGTTTAGAGTGAGAGGGTGGGAAGAAATTGAGATAACATAAGAGAAACCTGATAGGAGTGAACAGTGAAAAGGAACCATTAACTGGAACATCTCCTCTAAGTTGATTATTTGAAAGATCCCTGCGCCACAAATGATATAACATCCAACTCCATTAGAACTGTTCTTGACCCCAAGATAAAACAACTAATGAGGAGAAGAATTCTATCAGCAACACTCACAGCACTTGCAGTGTGTCGATAGCAGTTAAGGACAGAGGAATTGTTCCTGCCAACGTGTTGTTGTTGAGACGCCTATTCCACAGAAAGAAAGTGAAAGCATCAAATATATTGCATAATGGAAAATAGATATGTAACTGATAAAAAAAATCACGCATAGAGAAACATGTTGGCACAAATATAAGAGGTGAAAAGAGCCTATTGCTCAGGGAAACCATTTTAATCCAGTTCATCTCATTCCAAGCACACTCACATCAGATAAGGGACAGGCTTCACATTCCTAATTCCCACCAACTCAAATTCTTGACGTCCTCACCAAGGCCACACATCACAATCACAATGTGAAGACCCACACCACAGGGCCAAGATCTCACTAGCACTGTGTGAATTGATTTTCGGTGGACAAACAGTTTAAAAGTGATAGCAATTATTATAATATAATTTGTCCAGATAGAAGCAAAATTGTTCATTTTGTCATCCCAGAGGATTATATTTTGCATATAATTCTTAAACCTTTTTAATTTGTTTTTACCTCTAGACATGCTTTTTGCCCTTCCATTTTTGGGAACCAATAGCAAAAGTGCAAAGCAAACAGACACTAATAACTCTTATTCTTCTAGATGTATACCTAAACTTTCACCGAGTTGGAGGATAAGGGTTGAAAGGTATGAAATAGGTTTCACCATCCCAATAGGTTTATCTCCTAAGTCCTATCTACACTCTCCCTATAAAAACCGACTAATACCGACATTTTACATGCATAAGAGGAGAAGGAAATTTTCATAACAACCCAACTATAAATAAGAAAGCACATTTTTAATAATAATGCCATTTTTGGCTGGCAATATCTCATTGCATAAAACCTTCTAGTTATACTAAACGGCTATGACTAGAAAGCAAGAACACAAAGAAATTTGATAAAATAGCAAAATGAAAATGAGAAAAGAGTTCGTACAAGAAACGGAGTTTTTTAAGGTTGCCCAGAGTAGTTGGGATGTCTCCGGTTAATTCATTCAAGTAAAGATCCAAGCTCACCAATTCCGTCAAATTCCCCAGCTCCTCTGGGATTATCCCAGATATGTTATTACTATAAAGCTCCCTGTTAATTAAAAGAAGAGAAATTAATAATTCTAGAACAAGTCCAATCGAAGCATGTATCCAAGTATCTTTGTATGAAATTTGCAACTTAATCCAATCAAATACAAACACCTTCAAGATTAAGATGACAAAACAAATAAACCGAACAAAAGCAATCAAAACCAGTGCTTACAACCATTTCTACTTTTTCTAAGGCGATTCATTGTTGTCAAGCCACAGACTTGCACACACAAAAATGCAGCACCAAACTTAGTTATCACCTCAAGACTCTCCAAGAAAGGTCCTTGCACCTTGAATTGGGGTTCTAACATCTAGAGTGCACCTGGTCCCTTGACACCAATGGTTGGAGGAGTTGATTTCACATTGAGTTTAACTCAGCATTCTAGAAAGTTTTGTTTATCCAATTTTATACAGTTATGAATTTAAAAGAATATGATTCTGAATGAAACCTATCTACAGAAATCAAATCATGGAAATCATCTAAAGGAAGTCCTAATCAACCAATTATGGAATTAACTATTTGGCAAACTATGCAGGTGTTCTGATTTTCCGTCAGTTATCTTCTTCTTCTTTTTGCTTAAAATAATTTTAAAAAGTCGGGAAGCATGTAATAACCAGGTCTAACATTATCGACTTACAAATACTGCAAATTCGGAAGCTGCCCAAGCTGAGAAACCAGTTGACCAGTGAGATTTGCATTCCCAAGATCGCTGTTTTCAGAATAGGGAAAACACCTTTAATATGTGAAACTATAAACTCAAAAGTAACATATATGAAAGTAGCAAAAATAAACTTACACTCTTGTTACACTATTTTCATTATTACATGTAACATGAAACCATGTACAAGGATTAACAAGGGTGGGATCCCAACTTTGCAACACATTATTTGGGTCAACCACATTGGTCCTCAATGCATTCAAAGCATCACCTGTTTTATATATAAAGAAAAGCAATAGATCACTGGTGGCAGCAAAACATCAGACTCGGCAAACAGCAACCAGCAACCAGCATATATATCTTCTGATAAAATACAACTATAATAGGAAAGTGAACAATAACTTTCTCAATTACTGTAACTACTGGCGAATATAATAAAATAAGTGTGTTTCTCATATTTGTAGTAGCAAGATACTTGAAAAAGGAATTAGGTTTATTCAATAACTATATACACTTTTGTTTTCATAAAACTTATTTCTGCATTAATTACGTGGTATTTTCTTAAATATACATAATTAACTTTCATTTACTTACTTATTTTGACAATCTCTTATAACATGCATGCTACCATAAGCATATATGTTAGAAACTGTTAGGCATATATAGACTTATAGTTACTAGTTTTCCGAATTATTGTTATATATACTTCAATTTTCTAGTTTAAGGCTAAATGATCCCTGATTATGGTTCCCTCACTGAAATATTGGGAAGGGAAAAACTTCAACATAACTTGAAAGGTCCAACGCAATGGAATTAGTACTTCCCAAACTCCAGATATCGGTGAACTACCAAAATCGTTAATCAGAAGGCAATACATCAAAAAAATTCGCAGAAATTAGTCATTAAGAAGCGTGCAACTATGTGTCTATGTCTACAGTTAAATCAATTAGCTCAATTGAAATTTAAAACAAGGAGTCAACCTCATGCTATTAATAAACCAATCCAATACCTACTAAATCAAGAACCCTCTAATTTCAACCTATTAAACAACAATTCCACATTGAAAGCTTAACAAAATCGGAAAACAAGAAATACACTAATTAAATGAAAAACAAAGAAGTTAAGAAATGAAGATAACATACCTTCGGCATTTCCCGCGGCTCTGAAAACCAAATCCAACATGAAAATCAACCACAAACAAACGGAAATCAATCGCTCCATTATATCCCCCCTATTGTCGGATACTCATTTCAAAGAGCTAAACCCCCAAAATCATCATCAATGATCCACTAGACGAGTTACGGGGCCGTCAATTCAGACTAAAAACGAACATGAAAAATCACACACGTATCGGCCGTTGACCAAATCAAAGAGCAAAAACTAAAACAAACACGCGCGCGCCCGCGAAATAAAGTTCGAAAAGATTCTTCAGTAAACTAGGGCCAAAAGGGGGGAAAAGTAAAAAGATTCCAGAAGAATTCCCGGCTCTAGTTTTCTCCCTCTTTCCTTCAACAATGTAATCATGGAGTTTTTTTTTTTTTTGCCAGTGATTGGGACAAAATGGAGAGAGAGAAAATTGTGTGTTTGGTAACGAAAAGGGGATAGAATGAAGAAAAAGAAAGGAAGAATCGTCGTGGTTCTATTTTTTCAACTACGAAAAACATTATTGTAATCTCTCTCTCTAACATTGTTTGTTGGCTTAGTCAAAGCAAGCTCCATTAAGTCAGGAATATGTGTTGTCAAAAATTTTCTTCATATATATATATATATATATTAAAATATTTAAACTATTAATTTTGATATGTTTTAGTACTTAAATTTTTAATTTTTTTAAAATCATACCTAAATTTTAATATTTGTTTCATTTCAGTGCCTGTCGTTAAAAATTTTAGTTTTTGTTTTATTTTAGTACATTCGTTCAAAATTTAATGTTAAGTTTTGAAAAAAAAATGAAAGTTTAGGTACTAAAATGGACCAAAACCGATAGTTTATGTACTAAACGTGTTAAAGTTTTATCGGCAGGTACTCAAATGAATTGAAAACTATAATGTTATATATGATTTTGAAAAATCAAAAGTTTAGGTACTTTATTTCAGTACTATGTCGTTAAAAACTTTAGTTCTTATTTCATTTTAGTACCTCTATTGAAAATTTTGAAAGTTTAAATACTAAAATGAATCAGTACTGATAGTTTAGGTATTAAATATTAAATTTTTAATGTTTGGGTACTAAAATGAAATGAAAAAAATTTTAACATTTGGGTACTAAAATGAAATGAAAACTAAATGTTAGATATGGTTTTGAAAAAATTAAAAGTTTAAGTATTAAAATATATCAAATTTGATAGTTTAAGTATTAAATATGTAGTTTACCCAAATAATTATTGTTGTTGAATTCAGAATTTATTTTATAATAAAATTACGTTAACACGATTTAAAGAGAATATAAATTTTTATGTTTTAATAAAAAATATCACAGTTATTATTTTCTTATAAAAAATGTTGAAGTTTGATCTCAAAATTTTTAATTATTCAATTAAACATCAATAGAATTTAGGATAAATTATGTGTTTAGTATATAAACTATTAGTTTTAATCCATTTTAATACCTAAACTTTTAATTTTTTTAAAAAATCTGTATAATATTTAGTTTTAATTTCATTTTAGTACCTCGAGTTAAAATTTTAGTTTATTTTCATTTTAGTACTATTGTTCAAAATTTAAAGTTAAGTTTTGAAAAAAAAGAGTTTATGTATTAAAAAGGACGAGGACTGATAGTTTAGATACTAATCGCGTTAAGTTTTTAACAACATGTACTAAAATGAAATAAAAACTAAATATTAGGTATGATTTTGAAAAAATATTGAAAGTTTATGTACTAAAACGAATCAAAATTGATAATTTAGTTACTAAATGCATAGTTTGCCCTAAAATTTTATCCTAGGAATATTTTTTTCATTATATAACGGAAACGAGACAGGTCAAAGACGCACGCTTCCAAACAACTGGTCCCCACTATCTCCTTCAGTTTCTTCTTTTATTAATATACAACAGGTCTAATTCTGGTTTCACTCCCTCTATTATACTGAATTTTTTTATTTATTTTAAATACCTATTTTTTTATCAATTAGGTACTTAAAGTCTTTTATATTTTTATCTATCCTTAAAGTAAAAATAAGTACTCAAATTATACATTCTTTTTGTTTTAAGTACCTGAACTAATTTTTGGTCAAACTAAGTACTCAAACTATTATATTTAACCATTTTAAGTCCTATCATTTTTAGTTAGAAAATTATTTTTCAACTAGTAAGATGTTGACATGTCACACAAAATTAGGTATTTTTTTATCAAAAACTAATTAATTGTTTAATCAATATTACATGTAAACTTTTCATTGGTTTTTAATTTGAAAAAAACGAAACATTAGATTTGAGCTTAAAACGGTTATTGAATGAAACATTAGGTACATATATTTTGATTAAAAGGACATTTGAAGTACTTCAATGAAAGATGTGATATAATTTAAGGTAAACTACGCATTTAGTTCCTAATCTATTAGTTTTTGGTTCATTTTAGTACCTAAACTTTCAAATTTTCAAAATCATACATAACATTTAGTTTTTATTTCATTTTAATACCCCGTCGTTAAAAACTTAACACATTTAATACATAAACTATTAGTTTTGGTCTGTTTTAGTACTTAAACTTTAAATTTTTTTCAAAACTTAACGTTAAATTTTGAACGGTTACTAAAATTAAACAAAAACTAAAGTTTTTAACGTTGGGTACTAAAATGAAATAAAAACTAAACTTTAGGTGTGATTTTGAAAAAAAATCAAAATTTAGGTACTAAAACAGATCCATACTGATAATTTAGATACTAAATGCGTAATTTATCCTATAATTTATGTATCCAATTCTAAAATAAATTAACGTTTTAGATACCTTTACTAAAAAAATAACGTTTTAGATACCTAACTAAAATATGTGATAATTTTTAATTTTTAGGGAGCACGACCGCCCCCACCCGTCACACCTAGTTCCATAATGGTGATACCTATACGTTTTGGATTGAATGAATTTCAAATTATTTGAGACAAATGAAACTTTTGAATTCTAATTGTACATTCTATATTATCTTTTTGGGTAAACAACAGTATTGAAAATTTTTGTTTTAGTTTTATATATTTTTCCTCATTAAATTTTAAAAAACATAATATTTGATCACTTTCGTTTTTATTTAATTAAGACGTAGTCACTTTTATTTATTTTCCTCACTAACGACGGTTAAAATTTTATTGATTAAACATTTAAAAGTCGATAAGGTAATTGACCACATCTTAATCGAATAAAAACGAACATGAACGCATTTCAATGAAATAAAAACAAAAGTAATTAAATATTATGCCTTTTTCCAATTTTTTAAAAATGAATGGCTGAAATTCGTAATTAGACCAAAACAAAATCATCAAGGTTGGTCCTTCATACAAAGCCTAAGGGAAGGTTGAGATTTTTGAATGTTCAAAAATAGATGGCTGGAAATTGTAATTAGACCAAAATGCAAATTATCATGTAGCTTAGGGAGTTCTGTTAGACTTTTACCGCCAAACCTCAACCTTCCCTTAAGCTTTGTATGGAGGACCAACCTTGATGACTTTATTTTGGTCTAATTACGAGTTTCAACCCTCTGAAAAATTAGTCCATCTACTTTAATTTTGTCAAAATTAGACAAATTGGTCAAATCTTCTAAACCTTATTATGAAACCGTAGACCAGGGGGGGAAAACTCCACAAATAATTTTTTTTATTAATCTAAAGTAAGTACAATACAGTATCTGTTTAAAGATAACTCTCAACCTTTCGACTTTGAACGCTCACACCCTTTGACATCTATGGTGTTTGAACTCAGATCCTTAAGGAACAACAACAATTCTTTTACCACTTAGACCACTTGGTTCGTGCTCGATAAATAATTTAAATACATATAAATACTAAATATTATTAGTAATTACGACAACTTTGAATTTTTGGTTTGGAAAGAAAGAAATAGAATTGTCAAAAGATGGGTTAGGATGAAAACGATGGCGTATTACTATGTAGATAAAGGGACCACTCAAATTCAAGGTTGGTATTTGATCCAAATTTTATGTAATTGATTGCCCTTTGGTCAGCAATTTTAAAAGTCTTTACCCTAAATATAATAGTTGCCCCATACACTTATTAAGAAGGCTGATAGGAAAAATGAGTACTCAAACAATGTTTTTTTTAGTTAGGTATCTAAAGTATTTTTTTGGTCAAATTAGGTACTTAATAGCTGTCCCTTTTTCCCATATGTATGGGGTAAGGGGAGGTAAGATAGTAGGCTACCCCCAATACCAAGTTGAGAGCAGTTTCCGTAAGAGACCTCCGAATTATCAAATTAGGTACTTAAATTACTATATTTCATTATTTTAAAATTTAATATTTTTGAGTTAAAAAATTATTTTTTGACCACTAAGACGTTGACACGTTACACAAAATTAGGTACTTGTTTTGATCAAATAAATATTTTAAGGGCTTAAAGTAAAAGAGGGTACAGTTTAGGGACTTATTTTGACCAAAAAATAATTGAGTACTTAAAGTGGTTATACATATAATAGTTTAAGGACTTACATGTATCAAAAAATAGTTTAGATGCTTAAAGCAAAAAAAAGGCCTAGTTTAGGCACCCAAACTTTCAAAATTATACCTAAAGTTTTTGGTCCATTCTAAGGACTTATTTTCTTCCAATTTAGAACTTAAACTTTCAAAAAATTTAAAATCATACCTAAAGTTTAGTTCAGGTATGAAACAAAAACTAAAGTTTTTAACAGTGTATACTAAAATGAAATGAAATCTAAAAGATATGTATGATTTTAAAAAAATAAAAAGTTTAGATATTAAAATGGATGGGAACTGATAGTTTAAATACTAAATGCGTAATTTGCCCAATATTTAAATATGTTTAAATGTATATGAATTTTTAATTTAATAATATTTTAGATATTAAATATTATATAAAAAATAAAGTACTTTTAACATATTTCAGTAGGAACAAAATTACTCACATGGTCCAGTACTTATCGTTTTGGGTAGCATAAGTTTGTCCCAGTCCATGTCACTAAGGTGGTGTTTGTTTTCACTGTGCAAGCTCTTCAAACCACTTATGTCTGCGTCGCGCAGACCACACGTAGACATTAGGCTTAGCAGACTGTTTGTTTTTTAGAAGACAGAAGCTCTTCAAACGTCTGCGCGAGCTCTTCTTGGTGTATACATGGTTTTATGTCTTCAAAGGTCTTCAAACCTCTTCAAGAACAATTATAAAATATAGTTATTTATTAAAATAATTTTAAATAATTTAATAAGGTTATTTATTTTAAAATAATTTATTTTAAAATAATTTATTATAAAATAATTTATTTTAAAATAAATTACTATAAAATATGGATTGATTTATTTTAAAATAATTTATTTTAAATAATTTATTAATATGGATTGATTTATTTTAA